TGTGGTATTCCAGACGTACCCCGTTACGGATTCCGGGAGTAGTCCGCTGTGGTTTTCCGGACGTACCCCGAGGTGGTTAGAGTTCCGTGAGTCTAAGGAATCACGACAAAAGGGTATCTCATGTAACGGGGCTACATGGTGGTGCCATGATTAGCCGCTTGGAGGGGGCTACTAATTTCTGGGATCCACTTCCGAAGTATGGTTGTCGTGCGAATGTGATTATTACTAGCTCGTTCCGGAAGCTCCTAATTGCCCTCAGAGTAGGCCGACTCTGTGGTCAATTTCGGCTATAGGTTGCTTCCAGGATGACCTGGATAATGAACGAGAGGTGAATGCATGTAATAATGTCAGTTGCGGAAGCCCAGAGATAATGATGCTAGCTGCCCACCCCGACCATTTAACACTTGCCAAAAAGTCAGATGAACTACTCTTGATCGATATTGTTTGTGACCGCTCTGAGTGGGCCTGTATTGCCCGGGCGTGTCCACCAGTCGCACAGCATCACCAGCTGCTCGTTTATGACGCTGAACAGTGAAATCGATACTCAACCCCAGAGAGAATAGCACGGCTCTCAGTACGGCCGACCGACAATGCGCAGGTGCCACTGCACTCATCGCTTGGTAACAATCCAAATCGGTAATCGTTTTACAACCGCGCCGAGCCGCGCGCGCCGGCAGGACCGGCGAGGCGTCATTTTATTGTGACTATTGTCTCGTTCCACCCAGTACAGAATTGACAAGTGTCACCACCACGTACTTGACTGATACAACTTTGGCTCGTAACGAAACGAATTAGTAACTTGCTTTTAGCCTGTTCTCTCCGCGCGTCTAACAAAGTCTCGTCAGGTCACCCGGGCCGACAAGTTTTACAAGTAAGACAGTAGTACTGAGCAGGTGCGGCCGGGATCATTCGGCGTGTCCGCTAGCCGTTTTATGGCATGAACGCCGAATCGATAGTTGTCGAAACTAAACAGCCTCCTCTCTCTCTCTCCCTCTCTCTCTCTCCCTCTCTCCCACTCTCTCTCTCTCTCTCTCTCTCTCTCTCTCTCTCTCTCTCTCTCTCTCTCTCTCTCTCTCTCTCTCTCTCTCTCTCTCTCACTCACTCACTCACTCACTCTTATTCTTTCTCTTTCACTCTTCCTCTCCCTCCCTCTGTCTTCATAGTTCCGTAACGTGCTTGTAGCGGAACAGTACATGAGGCTATTGAGTTTTCCTGGCATTATTGGCACTTTGTTTGGTTTAATTTACCTATGATGCGTAGGCACTGAACGTTTACCGAGATATGAGAGTGGAAATTGGCACAATTCAGACTTTAACAAAATTAGTCAGTCACGACAGCTTGTTGCTTTTATGCATTTTGGGCTTTGGGAATCTAAACTGCTTAATGATCTGCCGACAAACTGACGGGCGAGCGTGAGAGGCGTTACGCGGCGGCGATGATGTCGAACAAAGAAAACAGAAAGAAAATCACGGTACCACGACAAAAATCAGCATCGACATCACATCGAAATATCAATAAAAATATCAATCGGAAACGCCGCGTAACAGAAGCAGGTTTGATATGTCTCCAACGACACCTTAATTCAACTTATTTTGTAAGCAAGGCTCCTGAGTTGATAGAGCTGTTACTACTGTGCCGGAATACGCAGGTGTATTGCGGCGCAGCATGCGTCTAAGTTTTCCACACAGCGGATTCGCAGTACCTACCTTATGGAATCACCGCCATGGCAGGCAATCTGCGCCACAAAGATGAATAAATTGGAACTTTGCATACAAAGTTAGCGTCATTACCCGTTGACTATGCCTATCTGACGCCGCAAAACAAATCGACTTCCATCACCTTTGGTGTGGATACTCGCAACGGCTTGTTACTATGTGGCTTGTTGTTCTCCGCCAAATTACTTGAAAGTTGGCGACTGGCGGGGAACTTGGAACTCACCACAGCTTGGGGCATCAAGGCATTCACATGAGGCAAAATAAGCAACGTTAGCACGTGGTTTTGGGAGGCCCTGTGAATTTGTGCAGATGTTCTTTTTTGCACAAACGACCCTTCAAACGATGCATACGGCCGTTTTTTTGGCCTAAGCCCAATCAAACATGCTTCGCTATACATATAAGCTATGTAACTAAATTGGAACAATTCACGCTTCAACGCCTAATATGCAGACCGTTTTGCTTTGCATCGGACCGTCACTAGTCGGGAGTGTTCTGCATAACAGGCAGGGCCAGATGGCGTCGCTTTTCCTCGACGGGCACGGGTGAATACCCCTTTCCGGACGTCATGTCTAAGCACTAGCCGGCGGCGTCAGATGACAAGATGGTTTGTCCACATGACGAGCTAGATTCGCTCCAACTCTGTCTCTCTCTCACAGCTCCTCTATAGATAGAACTGGACGAAGTCGTGGCTCATTAAAGACATGTTTAACGCAGTGGCAAGGGGTGATGTCGCCTCAATGTCAATACTTAACGTAGGTATGCATAATTCGCTTATAACTCACTGGTGAAACTAGTCGTTTATAACCCTCCATTTTCGATATTCGCCCGTTCACACGTTCACTACCGAGGGCCATGAACGTGTTTTTAACTAGAAGTCCCGCTGATGTCTTTAGCGATAGTTTCTACACTTTTAGAGGACACGTTTTAAACTATGTGAAAGGGCTGGAAGCAGCGTGATCGCATCCGCTGTGCTTTTAGTGTTTCTTGTTTACTAGGCTTTTTAGGCTATTATTTATTTATTTACATCTCCTGTGTTTATAACCCTACGTGTTTTTATCTTCAGTGTGTGTGTGTGTGTATGTAGGTGTGTGTGTGTTGTGTGTGTGGGTGTGTGCTGTTTTACTGTCTCTTTGACTTCGCCTTTTAAGTGGACTTATTGTCTGTTGGCGATTTTAAATATACAAATACAAATACAAATACAAATACTGGTTTTCAGTCAACGTTGGGCATGAAAGTGGATGTATAAGCATTTCCTAACCCCTTTAGCTCTTTATTCTTCACCCATTTTTCAACTTGTCAACGCCCAAGTCTCATTTTCGTCCTTTCTCTCTCTGTTTACACGCATCTGTGTCATACCTTTGTTTTCACTTCGCTTTCATCTCCGTTTCGATACATCATCTCTCTCCATTTCGATATTCTTCCTATCTGATTTTCTCGGCTACCACCGTGTCCGCACGACAGCCTCCTCTATAATAGTCTGTCAAGCGGCTACCAACGTCTCCTGCGTCTCCATTCCACCTTTCCTGTTGCGCTGTCTCCCATTTCCGTCTCTCTTATCTCTTTTCTGTATCTTTGCTTCCGTTCCATCGTCTCAGTTCATCCGTCTCTCATCTCTTTTCCCTCATTTATCTCCGTATCCAACGCCTTTTTTAACCTCAGTCTCCTCATGTCTCCGTCTCCGTCTCCGTCCCTGTCGTCTCCGTCCTCGAACGGCGGCCCGCCTCCCCGCGTGACAGCGTGGCCAGGGCCGGCCCTCGCCACGCCCAGGCGGCCCCACCCGGCGCGTGGCCAGCGGTGCCGATCGGCGCGCAGTGAAACTATCACCGGCACAATCGCCCGTGCCCGCCTCTCACCCTTTCCCATGTGCACACAATGGGTGGAGGTCAGTGTCACGTTGATCGGACGCAATAGACCGCCGCAAGAGGTCAGATATCCCGCGGTTATATAGATATTGCAAAGGCAAAGGAACCCAGCCCTTTTCTTATCAACATTTACTGAGAGTAGCTATTGAATAGCACGTGAAATGAAATCGCTGGCGTGGTTTGCGAAGCAGAAATATTCGCAATTCCCATATTCCTCTGTTGCGTCTGCAACTGACGCACGCTACCCTGCTTTGCAAACAATGTCAGTCGAGAGGTCACGCACTGCTCTTTCTGCAGGCATTGCGTACCCACTTCCGTCCCGTCCCGTCCCTCCCTCGTGCTGCGCTGGCACCGGGCTCGCGGCGCCGCCGCGCCGGTGCGGCCGGGCCGCCGCGGGTGAAAGCTCTGCGCGCCGGCGGCTCGGGAAACGCGCGGACTATCTCCGGCGGCTGCGGGACGGAGCGTCTCGGCGTCCTCAGTGGCGGAGATGCCACCGCCTGCCGCGGGCGGTCGCGATACACCGATAGGGAGGGTGTGAGAGGCACCGGAGGTACGCGAGGCAGGCCTCCTGGCCCACAGCTTTGGGCGTGGGAGGCCGTCAGGTCAGGGTTGGGTGTCATGCCGTGCCCTTGCGCGGAGAGATCGACAGGTGAAACGCGCCCGGTGACCCGCCCCGGTGAGCGGCTGAGAGGTCAGCGCGCGTCCACAGTCATGGTGATACGGCACTGTTTACCAACTTCTTGGTGTAGCCCACAACATTGCTGTTCACTCTACAGCGAATGTGATCTCACGAGCTTCGGAAGATTACAACAGCGCAGCACGTAAGTGCTGTAATGGCCGGTTGGGGGCGGGGCGGGGCGGGGCGGTCCGAGGTCGGTGACCTGGTCGGGGGTCAGCGGTCGACGCAAGGCTGACCGCGAGGGAGAGCGGGGCTCGCCCGATCCGAGCCGTCGTAGCCGGCGGCGCAGCTCCAGAAACAAAGGCGCTGCCGGTGTGAATCACCGCTCGCCGGCCTGCAGGCGAGAAACCACTGCGCCACTTGCGCAACGGACGTCGCACGCTGGCACGGGGCGCCGCCGGCAGCAGAGCGCCGCCAGCGCGGTGCGGCGGATCCCGAAGAGTGGGGGATCGGTGACTACTCAGAGTCTTAGAGACCAGTGATGCCGATGATTCATGGCTTTGACCCGCGGACGGGTGGATATTAGAATCGCCAGCGCTGTCCGGTCCGGCACCGAGTCACCATCTCCACCGGACTGGACACAGAGTCGCTATATCTCGGCGTCCCGCCGGAATGCGAGCTGCAGCCCGCGGGCACCGGCGCGGCGTCCGGGGAGCGCGGCGCGGGGCGACTGGGCGGCGCCATGTTCCGTCCGCGGCCGTCTCACTCACTGCTGTGAGATAGCAGTGATATGTAGGTACTCACCTGTCGTGTGTCTGGCGGCGAGCGTCAGCAGCAGCCCGAGCAGCACGCCCAGAGGCGTCATCTCCACCGGCTGCACCGTCACTGGCGACAGCGCCCTCCGCGCCCGGCCCGACTCGCTGCTGTTCCTCGGCGACCGTCTGCGATCAGCACACTGCTGCGGCTGCTGCTGCTGCGACGGCGGCGGCGCCGGGACTGCCGCGGCGGCCGGCTGCGTCAGCGCTCGGCCCGCGGAGGCCGGCGCCTGGGGCCGGCCGGACGGCCCGCAGCGGCGGCGGCCGTGCCAGTCGCGCGCCGCGCCGCACGGCGGCCCGCTGCCGGCTCGGCGATGACGACTGGGGCGGCCCGGCCGGCCCGCTGCCGCCGCTGCTTCTCAGTGACACACAGACACAGACACACTGTCCAGGGGGTGACACCCGAGAAACATCGATGAAGTACAACCAAGATGCATCCAGATGCATGTGCTAAATGCAAGGCTTTGTCAAAATACACTAAAAGGGAATTGATAAGACAGACCTAATTGATCGTAAACCTATGTCTAAAACTAATGCGCCGATCGTCGCGAAACTTTTAGTAGGGGAGAGTGGGGTAAGATGCCCAGGGTGGGAAAGACGCCCCACCCCCTCTAGCGGGGAAACAAAGAATCAAACCTGGAAATTAATGTTCTTAGCGTAAAGCGGAAGCCTGCTTTGTTAACTGCACAAAAATTTGCGAAGCTTAGTTGGGCAACGGCTGGCTGGTGATTGCATGTTTTTTATTTGCTGCTTTCAAAAAATATTTTGGCGTCAAAACATTGTAAATATCAAAGAAGGTAGATAATTTTTGCGTCCCTTGCTATAGTCGTGATACATTAACATGCGTGTACTGTGTCCCAAACAGTTTGTTTCAGGGTGTAGTTTTATGGCTAACAAATTGTGCTGATTTAATGTTACTTCGGTACCTTGGGGTAAGATGCCCCCTGTCCTGATGGGGAAAGACGCCCCCCTAAATCCGCAGGCTGTCCTTCAAGCAGCTCGTCAAATCATTTATTACATACTTGTGATGAGAGACAAAAGCCTATCTGGGACTATTGAGTCCGGTACGGTCGGGTGCTCCCCATGCCGGTCTCTCGGCCCACACAGCGACTTTTTGGGCGGCATCTGACTCTGAGAGCCCTCACGACGGCCTCTGTGGGCCCCATTATTGGTTCCAGGGCCCCTCACGACATCCTTTGAGGGCTCCCACGTTGGCTCCACGGGCCGCGCTGGCATCTGTGGTCCCCACGATGGGCTCGAGGGCCCTCAAGCATCATGAAGACCTATAAGGGCCCCACAGTGGTCTCCGAACGCCACCACGGAGGCTTGTTTGGCCACGCTGGACTATGATGGCCCTAATGATGACCTCTGAAGCCCCTTACGACTACTTTTGAGGGCCCTTACGATGACGTTTGGTGTCTACTGCAGGCTCGACGGGACTGCTGATTCGTTCAGGCGATTCACGTGCCTATTTATGTCAATTATAGTGCAGGGGGCATCTTACCCAACGCCAGGGGGCGTCTTTTCCACCCTGTGGGGTAAGATGCCCCCTTTCACTTCTTCAGGAAAATGCTTAATAGCAAAAAAAGTTATCATATTTCAGGCACGAAAGTGTGATATTTTTGGAGAAAAATGATGTCGGCTTCCGTTGAAACTCCAAGTTTTGGCTTTCCGATCGTCATTTTCAAATAATATATGACATAGTCAAACCCTGGGCATCTTTCCCCACTCTCCCCTACCCTTTTGTAGGTACATGAATTTGACGCCTTGTGACCAAAAGTTTTTCCAAAGCCCGTGATAGGTTGGTCATAGATGAAGTCAGAGTGACGTCATGCTCTGCTACTTTCGACAAAAAGGGTTTGCGAGAAGAGCTGTCACGCCTGCAGTTTTGAAATTAGAGAAAACATTTTTAAAATAAAAGTATGAAATGTCAAATGAACAGGAACTTCTATCTCGGATTTTTATTTTAATCTTATTTTGACCCCCAATTTCAGAAAAGTGAAATTTACAATACCAGAGATACAATACCCCGAAAAGCCATGTTTTCTTCGAAATTTTGAAAAACGGAAGATATGTTACACAGAACTATTCGCCTGCTATCGACATGCGAAATTTGAGCTCAATAGCTCCATTTTTGGCGAAGTTATGGCGAAGAAACTGCTCAAAATTGATGACGTCAAATTTTCAAACTCAATTTTTAGCCGTTATAGACCACGTAGAGTAAAACTAAAACCACCATTGGATTACCCGTGATAAGCTACAATGAAAAGACACCCTTTTTATGCAAAATATATACTGTGAAATTTGACCTTTTTTACCTGACCTTGGCCTGAACTCCAACAGAACGTAATGTAAACTGGCCCCAATGGTCGTCTAATCAACACCATTGAACTGCAAATGTAACATTGGCCGTAAGACATGTATTACACGGCCCTAGTATAGTTGGGTTAATATTTTGACCCTCAGTGACCTGACGGCTGACCTCTGTGACCTAACTTGTTATCAGTGACCTCTTTAAGCAACATATGTATTAGGCAACCGACGCTCTATCGATGATTTTTGATAACATGCCTTTTGCTCGATGTTATAACGCGTTCCCTAGAAGGCCCGCCTAAACGGTGAAAAATGCGAGCTTTGACCTGACCTGTCACCTGTGACGTCATCGATGACCCCGAGGTCAATGACATTACTTTCCTTGGATATTTTTCACAGGAACGCCGTTTTAGTTTTGCAAATCCGTCCAGTACATAGTTCCGAAGATACGAGGGGGAGGGGCAGAAAAATGGCCCCCTCCCACCGGATCGCGTTATAATCAGACCCTACCAGGGCGCGGGTTATAATCAAAGCGAAGCCAATTCAAATGACTTGGAACGACACTCGTATGTGCACTGTGCGGAACATAGGCTGTTGCAACCTAGGCCCACGCAAGGATCATGGATGCATTCTGCAATATAACTATAATAACATGAAATAAATGCTGGTAGGTACGCTATGCTTTTGTTGAAGCAGCCCTATGCACATCACAAAATGCTGACATGATATCTGTGTGCTAATTGCTATACTATCCGAGAGAACTATGTAGATTGTAGACTGTTTCTGTCCAGCTAATAAAGTGACTGCAACTTCACATTAGAGAGTAGCACTGGAAGAAAAGAGACTGCATTCTGTCACAGAAGGCTAACACTATACGTGGCAACGCGAACGGTGCGCACGACGAGCATTGCTTTTCGCCAGCTACATCGAATGAACGCGGTTGCTTCAGTAACCACTTTTGATAATTGATTGATGGTGACAAGATGCTTGAAACGTGTTTATTCCGGAGTGTTCGGACGTAGGACGTCCATACTTCGTGCGTGTATACTTCGGACGCCCTACGTGCGTTTAGATACCGGTGACCTTGAGTCAGGCTAGTTTATCGCCTCCCAAAAAGGTAAGGTAATTCAGTGAGAGGAAACACCATTGCACCTGTTTCGTAGACAAGTCGTTCTAAAATCCTTGCAAGAAACAAAATGTGGAGGTGGACCCGATGAGTAGGGGAGAACCCTACAGGACCCCTTGATTTTATTCAACCTTACAGGTAATTTTTTTTTTTAATTTTTATCATATTTTTGGGATTTTTTTTAAAGTTTCTTGCACACTATTATCTTCCTTATTAGTCACAGATAATAGAAATATATCGCAACTTTTAAGTTCCTATTCAGAAGAACGAGTGGATGGGCGCAAAATGACCTTTGCAGTCGGCGCGCCCTAAAGCCCCAATAAACAAACAAAGAACGAGTGAGCGGGCGTTTCGTTTTCATGTATTTTTTTTTTTTTTGCTAAATCCGGGAAGCATCATGCTTTTCAGTACAATTCATGTCATTCGAACTGTAGTTTGTGAGCTATTTTGGGGTAAAATCAACCATTTTAAAAATGTTACAAGGTCAGACTCGGATACACTGGGGAATTATACGTGGAATGGATAATAAAAAAAGTGGAATTCAAAATGTTGTAACTTGCCCCTAAATATGTTCTAACAAAAGTCCCAACGGTTCAGCGGCAGTGACCGTGTCAGTCGGGCGCCGCGCGGTGGCCCGCTGGCGGCTCGGCGGTGTATGCATGGATGTATGTATGTATATATGCATGTGTTAACAATCATGAGCGATCCACATATGGCGTGGCGAACGGCTGGGGTGGTCCGTACCCTGCTTCACACCTTAACCCGCGCATGACTGGGGGAGGGGGCTTTACAGAACTCCCCCTCCCGGTTTTCGACAATTTCTTCTAAACCGTTTCACGGATCTACACGAAACTTGCAGTACCCTCAGCAGCATCGATTTGACACCTTTTGTTAAAATTTGCAACTTTCTAGCTATCATAGTTTGGCTGGAAATGACGTCAGAGTGACGTCATGTCGGCCGATTTTGATGCAAAATATTGAATTAGGTACGGCAAACGCTCTCAAGAGCTTAGTTTTGATGCTAGATCCAATTTCTTTGCATCAATAGACGACAAATACACGTAGCTATCAATCTGCTATCTCGAATTTTCGAAATACTGAAAAGTTTGAAAAATATGTTTTTATAATTACAAAAACATGTTTTTTCCAAAAAGTTTTTGATTTTTCGCAAAACCCGGAATATATGTGATAGAACACACAATGATGAACTACTCTAGCAAGTTTTAGCTCAATATCTTCAAAACTAGCCAAGTCATTTGCATTATTGTCAAAATTTTGTTGTTATTTATTTTTCAAAACCATTTTTCAGTACGTTTTTGACATTGTACAGCAATATAAATGGCACCATCGTGTTCCTGAGCTTAAACTGCATCTGATTGGCATCTTTTTTGTTGAAAAATGTCATTTTCAAAATTTGACCTTTTCTGACCTGAAATTGACCTGACCTCCGGTAAATTCAGCTGACATTGACAATGACCTCAAATGACACAGACGACTTTATTTTTGAAATCTACGTGTAAAATGGACCATAAAACGTCACGTGACCGATACATGATATAGGTACAATTTTCGTTACCTAGGATGACCTGGCCTTGACTTGAAAAATTCGAATTAAAATTTCGGTATCATCAGGGTATCTTAGGCATATATCAAGGAGTGTGTAAACCAAAAATGAGCCTGATGGGACTTGTCAGTCGGCGGCCAGAGCCTAAATTGTATACAAGCAAAAATGCCGATAATTTTTACTTTGACCTGACCTGTGACGTCATCGGTGACCTCGAGGTCAATGAAAATAGGTTTCGCTTGATAGTTTTTCCAGGGCTATCAGACGCCGTTTGAATTTTGACGATTGGCCCAGTAGTTTTGGAGATAGGAGGGGGGCTCTGGAGAGCCCCCCGCTCAGTCACTCGCGTTATGGAAAATACCCCAGTCATGTGCGGGTTAAAAAAAACGATCATGCTCAGGTCATGAACGGGTCATCATAGAAGCTTTTCGGCCGTATTGATACAAAAGCTTCTATGATAGAAATCATAGAAGCTTTGAATGGTGTCCTCAGCCGAGAATGTCTACCTACGCAAGGAGTCTGCAAATCGGCATCACCAATCTCAAGTGAAACCCGTGCACGGATGCGCGGTATGAGATGGAATTCCGTTCTCATTGCTGGAAGCCACACTGAGAAAAAAGTGAGAACACCGACCCTTCTCTGAGACACGTAGCCTTTCCCATTTTTTCCTATTCAAATCAGACCACACGTTTTAAGTGACTAAGTCCTTTACCCGGTTTAACCGGGACATAAGTGGACAGAGACATAAGGGCGCGAGATGGTCATTAGGGCGCCGTTAGACCATGAGAAGAGCGCAGTGCTGTCAAAAGGGCGTCATTCTCCAGAAGGGCGACAGGTGATTAAAAATGCTATATGATCCACGGGCGCAGAATGGTCAGAAGTGCGCCATACAGTCAGTAATCTTCCAGAAGGGTGACAGGTGATTAAAAATGCTATATGATCCACGGGCGCAGAGAGGTCAGAAGGGCGCCTATACAGTTATAGTTCGTTTTTTTTTTCAACACCGGTTTGGCTCCAAGTTCATTATCGAAGCTCTCACGTGAGTTTTGGCAACTTCAGCGTCTGGCCAATTATTTCTTACCGGTAAAATATTCAGTTTCAAATTATGCTCGATAAATACATGGAAACTGTATCTTCAAAAATTATCATACCATGATGACGTCACTAGTGGCAGCTGGCAGCTAATGTCCCTACGGTGGCTCAATGTGTCCACGAATTTAAGGAAAATTTCATTTTCCATTGTTACCGAGGTCAGAACGGAGTAAACGGTTCTGCCCATGGTAGTTATACATTACCTTGCAATACAAGTTCGACAGCATGACATCATCACTGTTCCAATGTCTAGTACTAAAAAGTACGCATGGAATTTATCGGGAATATCTCACATGTTAAAATAAGGCGACGTTTGATTTTCTCGAGTTCAGTTTTTGGCCGTTTCGCTGGGTAAAACGCGTGCTTAGTCGAAAAATGCACTTGGAGCCAAACCGGTTTTGGAAAAAACGAACTATAGTAACGCTGGTTGGGACGTAGGGGCGCCAGACGGTTACGAGGGCGCCGTGAGGACATTAAAAAGTTGCCATTCTCCTGGAAGGGCGCCGAATAATTGAAAACGCTTTGTGGTCCAGGGGCGCTGATAGGCTAGAAGCCTAGAAGGGCATCGAACAGTCAGTATAGTGCTAAGTTGGTGGGGACATCGGGAAGCCAGACGGTTACGAGGGCGCCGTGAGACCATGAAAATGGTTGTCATTCTCCTAGAGGGGCGCCGAGCGATTGAAAACGTTATGTGGTTCAGGGGCGCTGTGAGGCCAGAAGGGCGCCGAACAGTCGAGGGATGCAAGCCGCAACTCACAAGGTGGACAGAAACAGAAGGGCGCGAGACGGTCAGGAGGGCGCCGCTAGACCATGAGAATGGCGCAGTGCTGTCAAAAAGGAGCCATTCTCCCTGAAAGGCGCCGAGTGATTAAAAACAATATATTATCCAGGAACGCGAGAAGGTCAGGAGCGTCAGGAGGACGGCGTTCCAGGAGCTTCCAGGAGCATGAGAAGGGCGCCGTGCTCTCGAAAGGGCGTTTCTAAGTTGTAATTTGTAAAAGACTTGTGTGTGCATTTTAATCATTACAGGGGGCATAATTCTGGATTGTGGGTACTGGATGCATCTGCCCCCATAAAGAGATATAAAATTACACCCCTGATAATAATATCTAACGGTTGTGGCTTCTTACTTCGCATGCTGCGCGTTTCGAAAAAGTGCAGTAAAATAGCAAAGAAATATTACCGGTTCCGATATTCATGAACCTTGACGAGGACAACAATCGAGTCAGCTGCTGCGCGTTGTGTGTGTGGTTGCTGTGGATTATTCCGTAGGGGTCTTCTCTGTAAAGATTCTTTGATGCGTTCAAGTGTCTGCTAATCAAGAAAAAATAATTGATTTTGTATATACCTGACTTTGAGGGTACGTATTGCTCTTTAAACTTTGCATTGCTCATTTCATTCAGTGTTCTGGTGCTGATCAGTGCGCCATCATGCGCCATTCTTGGCTACGATTTTCAAGATGATTTAAGAGGTCTTATAAGTAATTGAAGTTGGTAATCAGCAACATGGATGATAACAAGAACATTCCATAGCTTCATTTAAATAATTTGTTTTGGAATGGCCTGCTTCTAGACCAGCATAACTATAAGAACTTTGTTAGTTTTACTGTGACTGTACAGCTTAGTCCGAGAGTATGTTACATCCATTTAATGTGTTTATACAAAAGGTTAAATATTGCCTTGCAATGAAGTTGCAATTTAAGCAATTCATTCCTTAAAAATTGTCCACTCATTCAAATTCAGACTAAGTCAGAGTAGGCAGTGGTGACTGGTGGTCGTCAAGCATATTTCCTCGTCCTCCTGGATCTTACAATCTCCAGAGCTCCTGCCCGAAGATAGTTTGCAAGTACTGGAGCTGCAAGCAGTGTAATATTCCAAGCAGCAATTTAAGAAATATGCAGTTTTCAATGTACTCCACTCAGCCATTATTTATTAGGTTTATCAAATATTACAGATTGTAAGACTTAATATGCTGAAATAAGAAATTTCCTGATGATGGAGGTTTTCAAGATTCAAGAGCCACTTTAGTTTTGACAGCACTGCCTGGTGTATTGTATGATAGAGCAGGTTTTGGCATTTTTTTTTTTTTTTTATAAATTTTGTCCGAATGGCTGAATGGGCGGATTTGAGGAATCAGAGCCCGCACTAAGCACAGCTTGTTGTGCTGACCCTGACCCCACCACCCGATCGCGCAATTCCAGTTGTATGGCAGAATTTTGTCCGAACGTTTAACGTGCCCTCACGACTGGACACGGTCCCCTCCGCTCACTCACGTTACCTGGCTTCTGTGCGGCCCCTGCCACAGACACGCACGCCATTATACGTAGGAGCTAAATGTGGCCGCCCGCACCGGGGCTTGAACCGGGCTCTCACTTCCGGCAAAGCGTCAGATTCCGGCGCTTTTATCCACTCGGCCACGGAGAGGACGTGTGGATATTGGAAATTGGAAAGATAATTTCAAAGAAAACCTATGCAAGTCAATAGTCCTGTCAATAGAAATGGGATCATCCAAGATCCAGGCCCAACTCACAAAGGACACATGTATTCACATCCTATCAGGTATAACATCAAGGTTGCATGGAAATTCATCAAACACATTGGTTGCATTATAGAGTTATGTTATCTGTATCCTGTTTCTCTGTCATATATTGCTTCAAACAGGGTGAGGGTATCTCACAATACAAGACTGCAGGTAGTGGCAGTTCAATTTTATTTTGTGTTTCCATACCAAATCAAAATTAACTTTACATCCTAATTTAAGTACTTTTTAAAGTTGTTTCCTCTTTGTTCTTTTTAGGGATATCTACTTTTTTACTGTGTTTCATGACACATTTAAAAGTTTAAAAGACCTTTTTATCTAGTTGAATTAGGAGTTCTTGGCTTTGAGGATGCTCTATTTATCAGGATAGTGTATCCATTACTGAAAGAGGATTTTGGCAGTCTTCTCACCCTGCAGCACCTCATAAAGCTGTTGTTAGGCTGAATCTGTGTTAAGATATTCTGAGATCAGTATGTGAAATAAACATGAACTCAACATAACTAATGCCAGATTGTGCTATACATCCAACGCACAGTGGTAAGGAAGAGTTGAAAGCAACAGTAGCAAACTTGTCCATAGAGAATTACATTATTTAAAAGCATTGCTGTTCTGCCCGGAACCAGAACAGAAAAGGTAATTAGCTTCTGTTTGGATCCCTGAGTTTTGTTTAAAGAAATTCCAGTTTGTTGAACATATCTTGTTATTAGTTCATATGTGCCAATTAGCAGTCAATAGCTCTACAAGTAATGGATGTATCCAATGTCTGCTCCTTGCTGTGCTCAGGAGAGAAAAAAGACATACCTATTAGGTAGGTCATTTTGTAAATAGCTAAGAAAGGCATTGAAGCTTAAAATTAAGGTTTTTGACATGCTTTTGCTAAATTGGATATGATTGGATAATATGATTAATTGATTGATTAATATATTTGATAATCAATTAGATAATTGCTAAGTAGTTGGAGGTTTTCTTGAAGATCTGAACATCAAACTCTCATCATTGTTCATGAGCCTCATCCATGTATTGGTCATCTCATTTAATCCTTATCATATGGAATCTAGCTCTTGCTATGATGAAGGCTGAATAACATCAAATATGGGTTATGGATCTCAGCCATGCCCTAATAAAATGCTTGTTGTTTACTCCTTTTGCTGACATGCAGTTAGATATATGTTCAAACGTCGCCGTCGGTGCATCCAGCCGAGTGATTGACGTAAATCGACCCCGGTATCCTACTCACAACATTTGTGTGTATTGTTTACAGGTGCAGCAGCCTGAAATGCACCAGGGCTGACTGTCGCCACACTAATCATGGTGAAGGTGGGTAAATCTCCCGCCGAATATTCGGACGTCTCGTCGGAGGCTCTGAGCGAGCCGGAGGCCGGCGAGATTCAGAGTGACGACAGCGTCCATGACGATCTGTCCGAGGGGGAGGTGTCTCCCGGCTCGCCGGTCCCGCCTCCGGTGCGCCGGCCGCCGCCGCCGGCCGCCCCCGGTCTGGGGCCCGCCCCAGGCGCCTACGGCCGGCCTCCGTCTCGCTCGCCGAGCGCCGAGCGACAGCGGGCGCGCGACAAGCGCAAACGACGCCACCGCGAGCGCGACGGCAGCGCGAAGCGGCGTCGCCGCCGGAGCCGCTACTCTGCCAGCCCGGACGCCCGGCTGCCCAGCGCCAGTCCCATCTCGTCCGGGGACGACGTCGGCTCGGCGCTGCCGCCGCGGGACGGCGCGCTCAGCCCGGAGCAGCCGCCGCCGCCGCCGCCCGCCCGGCGCCGCGCCAGTCTGGGCGGCGCCAGCCCGTTCAGCTCCAACTCGGAGGGCGGCATCCCCGACTCGCCGAACGGCGAGGTGGCCCGGCCGGCGGGCCGCGGCCGCTCGCCGTCCTACGCCGACGCCGGAGGCCGCGGCGGGCGCGGGCGGCGGCTGACACCACCGTCGGCCGAGAAACGCCGCAAGTCGCGCTCCCGCAGCCACGAGCGCGAGCGGAGGAAGCGCTCACCAGTCAGTCGCAGTCGCAGCCGCTCGCCCAGGTGAGTGAATCGTCAGGTGCCGAAGGGCTTTAAAACGGTGCTGTCTAATGTTGAGGTCTCCCTGCGTCTGTTTCTTAGAACTTATTCAAATAGAAGAGCACATAGTAGGTTTTGCAAAGCATGACATCACCTATTTTTCTTTGTGTTGATGTGAAGCCTATATGAAACGTGGATTAAAAGCATCCAGTTTGACCGTGGCCTGCCATTTGATGCCTCACCTGCACTGCACCGTGTGGCTGCCCTTTTGGGATGAAATTAGTTTTGTTAGCGAAGTTTCAATGTGAACTGTTACTGCAATGTGTTTTCTGTATCGTTGTTTGTACATTACCAATTACCATGATTTTGTCATTTACGACCTCAGTTGGTTTCCACTCATCCGCTGCCTTTCCTTTCCTACCTAATCCTCGCTCACATTGCTGTCTGTTATAGCCGATCGTCGCGGCATCGCGTCGAGTACGACTGCGAGCCGTCGCCGCCGCTGCAGCGGGACGGCCCCTTCCTGATCCCGCCGCCGCCGCCGCCTCTGCCGCCCGGTATGCTGCCCTTCCGACCGTGCCGGCCGTGGGTGCCCGGTCCGTTCGGGCCGCGCCCGCTCGATCCCCGCCTGCCACCGTTCATGCATCCAATGGCCGGCCCGATGGGACCACGCGGACCCATGTTCGGGCCGCCGAGACCACCGTTCGGGCCGCGCTGGGGCGCACCGTGGCCGCCGTTTCGCGGTCCGATGGGTCCTGGTCCTCCTGGTCCTCCCGGACCGCCTGGTCCGCCTGGTCCTTATGGTCCCGGTGGACCTTGCTGGCCGTCAGGACCTCGGTTCGTCCCCGGGTATGGTCAAGATCGGCCGGAACCGGAGCGAGAGCGAGAGTCGGAGCCGGAGGAGTTCGGAACGCCGTGTGACACTAACCGGGAGCCGGGCTCCATTCGCGAACGTTCGCACAAACGCCGCAGTCACGATCATGACTCACGTAGAAGAGAGAAGAACAGAGACAGCCGTTCGAGCTCCCCGCGAGACGATGGACAAAGGATAAAAGACGAGGAAAAGGTGGAACGGCGAAAGAAAAGGGAAAGATCGTCAGGTCATAGAACAGATTCAGATGCAGTGTCAGATGATCAATGTGAGGTGGCTGAAGGCTCGGAGGAGATTTCACACAAATCTCGCAGAAGTTCGAAGATGCATTCTAGCTCACCGGAGCAAAAGTCGAGTAGAAGGGCGAAAGACTCGCCAAATTTGACCGAGTCGCCTGATCGCAGAGATTCGCAAAACAAGCAAGAGAACACTGATGGAGGAGACCGTTCGAAAATAACTCGGCGAGGAAAAGCACGCAGAAACAACCGCGAGGGTTCTGAGAGCTCTCCAAAAAAGGAGTTAAAAGGTGAAGCGGAAGACGACAATTCAGATGAAGATGCTACCAGACGCTCTCCTGGGAAGCGTCTCAAATCGACGAAGAAGCGCTCGAACTCAGGTCTTCAGACAAGTCGCAAGACGGGCAAAGGATTAGGCTCGAAGAAAACCTCGACAAAGGACAAAAGTGGCGCGCCAAAAACTATTACGAGAGAAGACACACACCTAGGATCTCGGTCAGATAGCGATGGAGAGATGGAAAGTCTTGTGGAGCCAAGAGCAGACCGAAAAGTAAATGAAAGAAGACTTGATCCAAGGACAACGGGGAAACAGAGTCCAGCAGCAGCACTTAAGAAAGATTCTTGCAGAAGTGCATGCGGTTCTTGTTCTGATTCTCGCATTAAGTCTCCAGAAACCCCTCGCAAAGACGTCCGCAAAAATTTTCATTCAGATCCTAGTGGAGAACAGCACAGTAAATCAGATGATCGCTCAGACATTCGGATGGTTTCTCGCAAGCAGTCTCGCACAGATCTTCACACGGATCCTCGCACAGATCCTCGCATAGATCCTCGCGCAGATACTCGCACTGATCCTCGTACAGATCGGAGAGATTCTCGCGCAGATCCTCGCACAGCTTCTCGAATAGATCCTAGCACAGATCCTCGAACAGATCTTCGCACAGATCCTAGTACAGATCCTCGCACAGATCCTCGCACGGATCCTCGCACGGATCCTCGCACAGATCTTCGCACAGATCTTCGCACAGATCTTCGCACAGATCCTCGCACGGATCCTCGCATGGATCCTCGCACAGATTCCCGCACCGATCCTCGTATAAATCATCGCACCGATCCTCGCCCAGATCCTCGCACAGATCCTCGCACGGATCCTCGTACAGCTTCCCGCCCAGATTCTCGCACAGATCCTCGAACAGATCCGCGCGCTTCCCCTGCAAACGTTCCTCAAGACCCACGAACGATTGCGCGTGGGAGAGAGCCTAACTACAACTTACAGGGAGATGAGAGACGTCAGGAGCTACAATCTGGCCGAGAGGGAAGAACTACGCCGGAGCGAATAACAACGAGACTTAGGACGCGTGAAATAATGCAAAACTCTGAGAAACGCAATGAAGGCCCTTGGTATGAAACCAGGAGCCGGACAAAGCAGAGCAGCTTGCCTAATGACGCGTATCACTGGAGACGCGATAGAGATACCGGAAGTCGGAATCGCAGTGGTGCGGAAGGCGAAGACAGCCCGGAAAATCCCTGGCGCTGGAAGGCCAAGAAAACTAGGAAAGCTAGTCCTCGTCGCGGGAGTGATGAAGAAAGGCGAAGATCGTCTGAAGAACGCCAGGACAAGCGAGAAAAGCAAGACTCGAACGATGATCGAGAAATCGCCAGCTTTAGAAGAAGAGTTTATCGAACACGGTCTACAGACGCTCAGAGTTACCGTATCGAAGTGGATGTGAATAGAGACTCACCTCGAGCAAGTGCGAGGCGATACACGAGAGAGGAAAGCTCAACAGGGAGACGGGGTCGTGGGTCCTACCGGGGTCGCAGAGGACGCGGTTACTTCCCTAGAGGCGCACGAAACTGGTCTCTTCGTGGTGGGCCGCGTGATCGTTGGGGAAGCCCGAATGACGACGGCCATCAGGAAAACGAGAGAAGGGGTGGTCTCCGCTCTCGACATGGTGAAGTGAGTCCCGGTTCCAGCCCTCATAGTCCAACAAGTCTCCGCAGCTCTGTACGCATTGTCCGAAGTACCAACTCTAGTGGGAAAAGCGCTTCCGAACGAGACGATGCCGAGGAGCGCTGGCTTCAGGGACACACGCCGTGCGACCGGTTGACGAGGAGTAGGTCACGGCGTCTGTCGGACCCTCAGGGAGGCCGGAGTCCTTCACCTCAGGGAAGGAGGACACGAAGCAGCTCAAAGCCCTTCGCTGAGGAACTGGGGTCACCAGGTCGCGAAACCGCTGGAAGGATGTATGGGGACAGAGATCGGCACTATGCTGGTCAGAGAGGACAGGTCGCCGATCCTCGACTGGCAAGAGAAAGGTGGACACAGTCGGAGCGCAACGTCTTGGATACTGAAGTAGGAAACCAAGACTCAGATGGACCATATGACAGAATGCGTTCAAGCTCCAAGCAGAAATCCAGACGTCGAACAAGAGACGCGTCCGAGAGCCCAACTCGTCGGTCGTCTCGTCGCTCCGGCTGGAACACGGAAACAAGCTTTCTATCAAAGCAAGGCGAGAACCGTGGTGACAACAGCAATGATGACAAGAACAGCACTGAGAGTGGCTCATCAACATCGGAGTCGGACGATTCTGAAGATTCTGAGGACAGTAGTTCATCGGAGGCGAGCTTTTCAAGCAGTGAAAGCGAGTCTCACACGGCGTCCCTTCCCAGTCCGAACATCTCACTCTCAGTCAGTGGCGAGGACGACGACGATGAAGTATCAGCGGAGCACTGGACGGTTACCGATATCCTAAAGGACCCTTCCGAGAGCGACTTGGAGGCGGATGGAGATTTATCAAAGACAGTCGGCCCAGTGGAGATGGACAAGACAGCCGAAGGCGAGCCCAGACGTGATGTCAAGGGTGCAGTTGCAGAAAGTGCAGTTAGCTCAGTGTTGAAAGACGAGGATGCGGATCAAAAACAGACAGAAAAGGGTATGTCTGAGCGAGACGAGGAAAAGGGGGTGCTCGTCACAGTGACAGGCCGAGGCGAAACACGCTCCAGTACTGCCGAGGACAGTGTCGTTCCTTGCCCTCGCCGGGAGGATGGTTCTGATGTTACAGCACCGGTCGACGATGACGCCGTTCCTAGCGATGACACTGCTGACTTGCCTGTGAGCAGCGAGCCCGCCCCCAAGGTCGGACAGGTCGGCAGACAAAGAAATACTAACGTGCGAACGGGTCAGCTTGATACGTCTGGTGCACCTGTAAACGATGCAGTTGAAACTGATGAAACGAATTGTTCGGGACCTGAGGAAACGAAGTCGGTCAAAGTCTGCGGCGAAAACTCCTCAACTGCCAGCAACGGCTCTACCAAAGCTCCGAGCACCTCTGACAATTCAAAAGATCATGTACTAATTGCAGACGAAGTGCATGCCCGTGAAAGGAAAGAACATTCATCAACCGACGATCATTTGACTTCCTGCGATACAGAAGCTGCTTCAACCAATAACGATGCGACACATCGGGACGCGGGCGGAGAAGCCGCTCCTGCCACCGCTGATGATCATCACAAGCTTTCAGACTGTCCGAGCTCTCCCCTCGATGAACGCGACTCGGAGGGGTCCAGCCCGCCAGGCAGTCCCGGTCCGGAGTGCGGTGGTCCGGAGCCAGTGGCTGGCCTGCTGGAGCGCGCGCGACACCTCATGTCCAGCCAGCTGACTAGGATGTGCGCGTCGCCGCCGGCGCTGGCCCACATGAGCGCCGACGAGGACGAGATTCCCCCCGACGAGGACGAGATCCCGGCCTCGCAGTTCGAGGAGTCTCCGGCGGGCCGGTGCGACTCGCCGCCGCCTTCCTCCGCCTCATCCTCCACCGACAGGTGGGCGCCCTGCCGGTCCTTTCTCTTTTCCTATATATGCCGCTAGTTATTGCCAGTTTTGTGGCTTGGTATTCTTATAGCTTTCCTAAAGCATGGTCAGCGCAACTAAGACAATTCTGCATAAAACGCCATACACTATTTTTCAATGCCAGCTGCTTTCCATGCTACATTTTCTTGAATGAGATGTTGTGTTGTCGTGGCTCATTTCACCCTATGCTTATTTTGGCGTTTGGCTGGAACTGCATTCCTACTACTGAGAGGCAGCTGTGCTACGCATTATGTCGTAAGCATGCTGGAAAGTTGTAACACTGTCCCTTGTGCACTTCGTTTTATCGCTTCTAGTCTGAACCCAATGTTTCGAACTCATATCTAATAAGATTGTTTTTTTCGTAACTTATAGCTGACATTTTTTTATGAAGGTAAAGGAGGCTTACCTTGCGAATTCATTTAATCATTATCGGTGAATGTTTTTCTTCAATTGTTTTTACCTGTTATCACTTAAGATCTCGTTTCCTTTTCCATCCTATAAGAGTGCTTTGTTTTACCTAGCTCTCCCTTCTGTCGCACTGTAAGGTGTAGTACGTGGCCGGTTGATATGTATATTTTGTTACGAATATGAACATCCTGCAGTTGTTTCGTAACACTTTACGGCTGTATGTTTCAGGTTTAGGAGGAATTACTCCCGATCTCGGAGCAGAAGTCCCGGCAGAGGGAAGCGCAGCTCCCGCAGCTCTCCTTACAACAGGAAACGGCCAAGGTATGGGTTTACGCTCAAACGGGATTAATTACAGCTTTTGAATTTTTAAACAGCTAACTTTTCTGTGACGGAAACGTCGTGAATAATTGATTTATAATACATTTGTCTTGAGTTATCTGTTTGTTAAAGGATCGCGTACATCTGCTGTTCTTTGTGACTCCACACTGCTGTCGGTTTGTAACTGCCCTCAATAAACTTCAACTCGCTGACCGGTATGTGTGCTGACGTGTCGACAGGCGGCGGTCCCGCTCTCCAGTTCCTGCCTACTCGGGGCGGCCATCCTACGGGGGCGGACGGTACTCCCCGCCTCCGCCGCCGCCACCACCACCGCCGCCCCAGTCCGGTCGTCGCGGCGCCACCTCTGCCAAAACGCTTAACAAAATGTCCGAGACATCCCTGTACGCTGAGCTTGTGAAGCAGAAGAAGATTCGAGAGAAGGCTCTCCGTGTGGTGTCTGGATTCCAGCAGTCGGATGATGGCAAGGTAATGGAGCCGGCTGTCAAATCAGCTAGTAGTTGTCAAACTGCCATAGCTGTCATCGCTACGTCGCTTTGATATTTGAGAGAGTTGTGGCTTCTTAGTGTAATCTGTTATTACTTTAACGGTTTTGTCGTATTTTAATTCTTGTAGGACTAAGACAGGGAATGTGATTTGTTTTCTTTTCCGAATGCGTGCTTTGGGTAGGCCCAATATGCGCCGATTATATGAAACTTGTTCACCGTTTCTGTGCGCCGCAAAATCTTCATTGTGTGCCACTGACTTTTCCCCTGCATTCGTGCGTTCAGGAGAAGGAGAACGTGTACCCGGACGGGGACGGCTCCGGCCGAGACCTGGCTGACGGCGCCGACCAGCTGGAGACCATCGAGTCATCGCCGGAGGTGTACACGCCCGAACAGGAGCCGCGCCGGTGCGAGGGGCGCGGCCGCGTGCGCAGCCCGCCGTCCCGCCGCCGAGGCGGCACCCCGCCCCTGCCGCCCGGACACAGGAGGGGAGGAACACCCCCGCTGCCGCCATCGCACCGGCGCGGCGGGACACCGCCCCTGCCGCCCGGCAGGCGGGGAGGCACGCCGCCACTTCCCCCGAGTCACAGGCGGGGAGGTACGCCCCCACTGCCGCCCAGTCACAGGCGGGGAGGTACTCCGCCGCTGCCTCCCGGCCATAGGAGAGGGGGCACCCCGCCACTGCCGCCTCCGAGCCATAGGAGAGGAGGCACGCCGCCGCTACCGCCGCCTAACCGCCAGGGCCGCTCTGCCGCCGTCCGGCCAGGTTAGTCACTATCCGTGTGTTGTCTGGGTGTGGTGGTGTGACAGGGAGCATGTGTACTGATAAAATGAGGAATGGACTGGTGATAGTTCTGATCCTATTGAAGCTGTTTCTGGAGCTTCAGAACTCGGATTAGCCGTCGCCTGCCACCAGCTACCAATTTAGGATGGGAACTAGCTTTTGTTTCGTTTTCCGTCGAAATTGCTCACGTTTATTTTTCTCTAGTGAAACATGTTTTCAAAAGAATGACAGAACTTTGCAGTCGGCGCGCCATAAAGCCCCAATAAACAAACAAAGAATGACAGAAATATCAGTGGCTGTATGCCAGCTGATTTGTCCTGTATGTTCCGTTGACCAGCCGTCTATCTCCTCCTAGTAGTGCCCGGTACTGAGGAGCTCTCCCCAGACGAGGACGGACCTCTGACCCCGCCGCCGCCGCGGCCGTCAGCAGCGGCGAGCCGCGCGCCGCAGCCCCGCCTGCAGCGGCCCAACATCATACACAGGCGGCGAGAGGTGAGCCGCGTCTCGTCCACCACGGGTGTGGATTTCCGCTGAGTTGGGGGTGCCCGGGCGCAGCAAACTGCCGCCTCTGTAGCGCGGATGACCTTGACCCGCACCGTCTGTTGCGGCTCCGAATCCAAGCCGGCGGGGCATTGGGAGAGCTCGGGCTACCCCAGCTCGGCGGAAATCCACACCCATTCCGTCCACCCTCGCGCTGCACTTAGTCCTGTGAAGGTGGCAATAAAGGTAGAATTATCCGTAACCAAAGACGCTTGCTTGTGTGATGACATCTCTGGTCATCTTACGTATATTTATTGCGAGGAACTGCCTAGGACACTACGATTCATACCTGGCTCACATATTGTGATGCCTACACTGGGCCGCTAGGGGATATTGTGAACCACCTCCCGCTGTTAACCTTCTCCATATTTTGTCTACCCTCAGAGTGAGAACAAAACGTGGGGTGATCGGTGTGTGGATGCGTTCGAGCTGATAGCCCAGGTCGGCCAGGGTACCTACGGCCAGGTGTACAAAGCCAGGGACTGCGAGACCGGTGAGTTTAGAGCGACACAAACTGTCTGTTTTGTGTCAGGGCCGGGTGCTTGAAGGATAATGGTGCCGTTACTAGTCGTCGTTGACTGCAACTATGACGTGGTCTGACGTAGCCACCATACGTTTTGCCGCGGCCTCACAATCTCCTTGCTCAGCCACTTGTTGGCTGCGGTGTATTCACACACATATCCGTAGGACTGAGGCAGAGTAGTTTGGAGTTGCGTTGCTTCCTAACTTGAGTGTTGGTAGTGCGACTCTGCCCACCTCTTTTAGCTGTCGCGGTGTATTGAACACTTTCAGCGCGTGTCATTTTTCGTTTATGACCTTTTTGTCATTACAGGTGAGGTTGTTGCGTTGAAGAAGGTGCGATTGGAGAATGAGAAGGAGGGATTTCCTATTACGGCTGTGAGAGAGATCAAGATCTTGCGACAACTGAACCACAAGAACATAGTTAATATTAAGGAGATTGTTACGGACAAACAAACTGCGGTGGACTTCCGGAAGGTAAGTCCCGCCTCACGGTGCTGCGATAGGTTGTGCAACGAAACAATAGCACCTGACTGTATTTTTATTGGATCCGGGCCAGTGGCATGTTAATGACTTGACGTCACCAGTTTCAGCCTCTTTCATATTTTTCCTTTTTTTAAGGCGGCATCGTTATTACTTGGCCAAAGTGGGCAATGTCGCGCAATATTATGCTACAAAGTCGGCCGACTACTGCCTAATATTCTGCTCACCGGCCTTGACGAGCTATGATCTTTTCAACACACATATGAATGCCATTGTCTCTGCACTTCTGCAGTCCGGGCGTCCAAAACGCCAAACTCATCAGTTCCTGAATGATGAGTCCTGATGGTCCTGAGGTCCGACAGACCTAATGCCGAGCATTTACGTTTGAATTCTACCAGTGGCGGCAAACGCAAACTAGCTGCTTGCTGCTCCGCGCTCACCCACCTTCACTCTGTCGGATTGCAGGACAAGGGTTCATTTTACCTGGTGTTTGAGTACATGGACCACGACCTGATGGGCCTGCTCGAGTCGGGCATGGTGGACTTTGACGAGCCGTCCAACGCCAGCATCATGCGCCAGCTGCTCGAGGGGCTCAACTACTGCCACCGGAAAAACTTCCTCCACAGGGATATTAAGTGCAGCAATATTTTGCTCAACAACAAGTAAGTCAATTACTGTGGTCATCTTGTGGGCATCAGGCATTTCCTGTTCTCTTCACATCCAATATCACTTACGTTCAGACCTAGATTATGTGCTGTGTCGATTACTGCCATCAAGTCTATTGATAGACATACTTTCGTAGCGTTTTTACTTTCTTTTATCTATCGTGATGTTTCCTTAATGAGCCATTTGTGTCATTTCCTCCATGACCATGCATTTTTCCTGGCTGGCCGTCACAGGGGTCACGTGAAGCTGGGCGACTTCGGTCTGGCCCGTCTGTACAACGCCGAGGAGTCTCGTCCGTACACCAACAAGGTGATCACGCTGTGGTACCGGCCGCCGGAGCTGCTGCTCGGGGAGGAGCGCTACGGGCCGGCTGTGGATGTCTGGAGCTGCGGCTGCATCCTCGGCGAACTCTTCCAGAAGAAACCGCTCTTCCAGGTGGGTTGAAAATGTATACGATGGGCCGTCACGGCGGGATGGTATGGACGGGTAGAGATGAGGTGACTAATGGACTGAATATTAAGGAGGGGTGGTGAGAATTTTGAAGATGTCGCTTGACATGTGCAGTTGATTGTGCTTGGCTGTCTGGGTGATGTTCAGTTAGTTGCGGCAGATTAAATGTGTAATACGTGATCCGCCAGCGTGTAACCATTCGGATTGCGAACTTGAATGAGGAAACTATCAGTTTTTTATCTCTACTAAGCAGAACTTCGTCACAGCTGCTGTTCTTGTAGATTTGAAAATTGTTCTTCCTTTGGCTGCTGTCTCGAGAGTCGAGACAGCCAGGCACCGAGCCTCCGCCTGTTCTCCCAACCGCACTCACGGCCACCTTATACCACCTCCTGTGTCTGACAGGGCGCCAACGTGGAGATTGCCCAGCTGGAGATGATCTCCCGGCTGTGCGGCTCCCCGTGTCCGTCCGTCTGGCCGGAGGTGGTCCGGCTACCCCTGTGGAGCACCCTCCGACCCAAGAAGCCCTACCGGCGGCGCCTCAAGGAGGAGTTCTGGCACATGCCCTCGGCCGCGCTCAGCCTCATGGACAAGATGCTCGAGCTCGATCCGAAGAATCGGATATCGGCCGATGACGCGCTCAAGAGTCCCTGGCTGAAGAACATCAACTCGGACAAGTGAGGAAGGGGCAGCTGGCATGGTGTTACCATAACATATAAAGTTCGTGTTGATATCAATGTTGGTAGATTGACAAACATTTTGTTTGCACCCAAGATAAGTTGCGGGTTCGACATAGTTACTTTCATTTTTTTAACAGCATGAGCAACGAGCTGTTTTGGCCAGTTTACCTACCGCGATGTCGTGAAGTCGGCTCACTGAGTGGTATCCGCTTTTACCCCATCTTCTCCCCTGTGACTGACCACCGACCCTCCTTGTTCACAGGCTGCCCCCTCCCAACTTCCCCGAGGGCCAGGACTGTCACGAGATGTGGTCCAAGAACCGGCGCCGCCAGCAGCGGGACCAGATGGAGGGCTCGCGACCGGACAGCGCCGCCTCGGCGAGGGAGCGGGGCGCGGCGCCGGCCACCGACTCGGCACGGTGAGAACTGCCGCGGACAGCCGATTACGGGACGGGGCTGGACAGGACTGGCGGGCCGTGGTGATAGTGGATGGATGGGTTTGGAATGATGTGGAAGCTGATGATATCGTAGATTCATGTAGTATGACGCTTCGTCCTTCCTGCGGTATTGCTAGCTGCAGGCGGCTTTAGGCCATTTAGTGGTATTTGTCGTATCGTGACAGCTGTCTGTTGCCATTCTTCGGTTTGTGTTTATTTGTTTAATTATTGGTTAGTAGCGGCCCCACTCAGTATCAAAGTGTCCTTCGCTATTATATTGCCGTTGCCGACCCATATTCGGTACTGTTGTGGTGTGACCCCTGTGTGACCGACCCTTCCGTACCGATCAGGACATCGCCGCGGTCGGCGCGGCCTGAGTCGTCGCGGGACAACTCAGACAGTCAACCGGTGTCGACCACCACCTCTCCACACACACCTCCCCCGCCGGCGGCGCCCGCACCGCCGCCGCCGCCGCCGCCCGCCGCCGACAGCGGCTCCCTGCGCTCCCTGCTTCAGCAGCTCATAGACCTGCTGGCAGAAGGCGAGCCGGTCACCTGCGAACACATCACCAACATCGTGCATTGTGAGGTGAGTCGCCAGCAACGTGCACTGCGAGTCGGATTACCAGCTTCGTAATGGGCGCAAAATGACCTCGCAGTCGGCGCGCCCCTAACGCCCAACAAACAAACATACCAGCTTCGTAAACTGCTTGAAAAGCAGTGGATGGTAAATGAATACTTAACATTGACATCTGGCTGGGTGTAGACGTAAACTGCAGCCTTTTCATATTTCGTTTTTGGGTAACGAGACTGCAATAAGACTGTTGCCAAACGTTCATCACCGTCAGACCCCAACGTCAAAAGGCCTCTCCCGTTGCTTGTATGCATCGTTTCCGACCGGCGACACCCCATTCTGACCTCTGTGTCTGTCTTGCAGGTGGACGCGGTGACCCAGCGGCTGCTGGAGCCGGTGAACGCCCAGCTGTTAGTGGCTGCCTCAGAGGCCGGCGCCCGCCTGGAGCCCGGTCTGCGCGTGCTGGGCCGCACCGGGCTGGCGGCGCCCCAGCTGCGCCTGGCGCTGGCAGCCCTGGTGCGCCACTGCGGGCTGGGTCCGCTGCCGCCCTGAGCGGCCGGCCGGCCCGTCCCCCCCCCCATCCCCGCACTGTTATATTGTGATGATCCGGCGGGCGCCGACAGCAGCGGCGCCCGGGACTGCATTCTCTTGCTTGTTGCGTGACTGCTCTGTATCGTAGGTGTTAATAAATTGGTTGACGGCCGTCTCCGCAAGCGTTCTGCTGGTTTTGGTAATTGGAGAACGATGACAAGAGAATTTCGTCTTATGAATACCATACACGATGAACACGATACTCTTACGACGTACTGAATTCATTTTCATTCTTATAAAGCCGAATTGCGAATGCGCTACGACACGAGCCTTCTTTTCCCCAGATGGGCGACAATGGTTACAGTACTGACGAAATGAGACTCGGCGCTGCTCCATTTATCACTCAGTTCGATGCGACGATGGCCATGAAAATGCTTGCGAGCTTGCAGTCTCATTCCTAAAGCGACATTGGAGCGTAAAATACGGCCCGCGCGAGACTAAAAATTACCATAAGACAGTCGCCTGATGGGAAGGCTTTATCCGCTCTTTTTCGACCAAGAGCTGTGATAGCGGTAATATCGCAACACTGAAGTCAGTGTCACCTGTCAGTCTCCTACCGCAGTCTGACGCCATCAGCCGGGTTCAGCCGAGCTGTTGGGAGACACCTCGGGCTCCACTATCAGCAGCTGCCTCAGCTCTCCGTCACCAGTGACCAGGTCGGCTGGCCGGCGGCCCCGGTCGTCCCTGACGTCGGCCAGCGCGGGCTCCATCTGCAGCAGCAGCCGGCAGGCGTCTGTCTTCTGCGCCTCCGCGGCCCGGTGCAGCGCCGTCTGACCGCGCTGGTCCCGGGCGGTGAGCGAGGCGCCGGCGGCCGTCAGCCGGCGGATCACGGCCAGCCGGCCGGCGCCGGCGGCCCGCTGCAGCGCCGTGGCGCCGCCGCCGGTGGGGGTGTCGGGCGCGGCGCCGGCGGCCAGCAGGAGGTCCACGGCCGCCAGCTGGCCGGCGCGCGCCGCGTAGTGCAGCGCCGTGTACCCGGACCGGTCCGGCCGGTCGGCGGGTACTCCGGAGCGGAGCAGACGCTCCAGGCGGGCAGTGTCACCCTCCAGCGCTGAGAACGAACGACAGGGTGAACACATGGGTAGTTTGTAGGTAACAGTCTGCTAAAACTAATTCCAGCTAAAGCCATCTGAAAATATTTAGCAACGAAACACATACCTGCTGGCCAGATTCCTCTCTCCCAGTCCATTTCATCCATGGTCTGTGAAACTGATGGGACAGCTGACTGGATGGAGCAGCAGTGGTTGCTCCCATCACCATGATTATGATCCTTTGAAGTCATGCTGGAATGCAAATGTAAAATAGAATGTTAATGATGCCAAAATCTTCCTTAATATAATGTAATGCAGCAGCCAGCAGGACTTGTCATACCATTGAAGGTGAAATAGCCTCAGCAGAACTGAATGAATATTAAAAGCAAATGCTGAGCAAGGTCAGCCGACAACCATGATGCAAGACCAAATGGATCAGGAATCAAGAGCTGAAGCTTCCACTGAACGTTCACCTACAGGATTCAACAAACTGATGAAATCTGAGTCATGAATTTGAATTATGAATGCAGCCAACTCATGTTTATGTTGACGGGAGTGCGCAAGGCGAATGGGATGCGAACCATGATTGGGATGTCGATGTAGGATTGGTAAGTGGCTTCATATGTAGGGATGATGCTGGGCACTGGCACAAAGGATAAACGGTTTCATAAGAATAATACAGAACGATCACTGTAGTACCAATAGGAAAACCATCCACCTATCAACTTTTATTTCAGCAACACACACAAGCAAGCGACTTTGCGGAATTGCTCCAGTGATTATATTTTGTCGCAGATGCGCAAGATCTGCAAACGATCATGAATGCGTCCATATTAGGGAAAATGCTGCCATATTCTGCTTGCCTCTATTACAGTTCTGTAATAGAAAATACTGCTTCTAAGCAGTATTTTCTTCACGCTTTCGCGAAGTGATTTTTCGTTATTTTTATGACCAGTTTGAATGAAGCAACAGTCGCAAACCAATATGCTTAAAACCACAGCTGGTTCACATAACGTTATCTGGTGAAATGAATGCGACGTGCATTTCAGCGGCAGCTTGTCATGGACACTCCGCCACGCAACTGCTACTTCTCTTCCTTGTTCCTAGATGGCACTAGCTGTAACGCCTGATTGTAGGCTGTGCCGCATTGCTCATGCTCGCCGACCGTCGTCGCTGCTGAAGCGTGTTATAGGCTAGCCGGGATTCGAGACGGTTTCAGGAGGTCGGAAGAAGAATGAAGTTCGGAAGAAGTTGAGGAAAGCGCTAACATGTATTGGACGATGAAGGTGATATTTCTTTTTTATTTCAAGCTGGAAATGTACCCGTAGCTGCAAATCCAAGCCATGTGAATCTGCGTCAAAAGTACATACCTATCTGCAATCAGAATTACTTTCAATAGTAGCGACTAGCGTTACGGTCGCGTGCACTGATTTTCAGTTCACTGCACAGTGCATAGTGCACATCCGAGCGCCGTGAACCATGTTAACCCGCGCCCTGCTGGGGGGGGGTGTTTGAACACCCCCCCTTGTGGTTTTTCGCGAATATCTCAAAAACGGCGGCGCGGAGCGCCGCCGTTTTTGGTACACCTTATCATACATCAATTCTACACATGTTGTGAAAATTTCAGACCAAGGTCATTCAAGGTCAGGTCACCAGGTCACTTGAAGTGACCTCACCTCATAAAAACTTTCAATGTCTGTCATAGCTACACCGAGTGACCGATCGCTTTGAAACTTTCAGCGATTGCTAAGAGCAATAGCATGTACAAAATGTTTATCTCAGAATTTTGATATCGATGACCTAAGGTCAGGTCAATTTTGCGACCTCCCCATTATAAGTCAATGGGAGAAAAATGAAATGCGCCTCTTTTGGATGAAAGACATTATAAACACTCCCAAACACCGAATTACAAGTGGTTTAGACACACTGAACTTGAAAATGGTGTCCGTGACCCTTGTTTATGCCCTGAGGTCATCTTAGGTCACGAATGGTATCTAACAGTTTTTCGCAAATAACTTTTGATAGAGGCATGCTAGAGCGATGAAAACGCCTTAGATGTGTTCAGCTCGACGATACGGATCGACTGATATGCAACATGACCCTTTCCGGTCAGGTCATGACCTTGACCTGAGGTCAAATTTTCAAGTTGACCTTTCAAGGTCAAGTTATAGTTCATTCGATGCGTCTTGACGAGAGGAACACGATGCCGGTAAAAGTAAGATCGTACAAGGCTTGGGTCAAAAGTTATTGCAGAAAAACTGTTTTCGAAAAAATCGGCTATTTTTGCAGTTTTTGCCCCCTGCAGGCAAAACCGTTGACGTTAGGTCAAATCTGAGAGAATTACCCAGAAAGCGCGTTAATAGGGCTATCGAATGCGCTTTTCCGCGGCGCTGTAGCTCTATTGGTTCCCGAGTTATGCGTTGGCTTCTTGGAAATTTTTGACATTCGACCTGGAAATCGGCGAAATTTTGCCTTCAATGACCTCTGGTGACCTGACCTTTGACCTGACCAAAAAATTGACCGAAGTGATTTCGTCATTATTTTTTACGCTCTTTCGAACGCCGCCTTCCGCGTATCGCTACGTGGCCCAGGAGCCGAGTTACAAGGGGGGGGGGGTGTTCAAACACCCCCCCCCCCCCAGCAGGGCGTGGAAATCCAGGACCCCCAGCAGGGCGCGGGTTAAGCGAGGTGGTTTCCGCACTCGGTAGCTGTTATAGGTATGGTAGTTACCATGTTCGGTAACCGTCACACGGTAGCTGGTAGCTGCCATAGATTCAGGTACGTGGCGTTTGCCATACTCGCTGGGCACTCGGCGTTTGCTTTGTTTGCGGTGGTTACTGGCTGTGGCTCTTGCCATATCCGGTAAACGTCACACGGTGCCGGCGGTTGTCTTAATTAATAAGTACCGACTTTAGAGTGAAACGGCATTCGTTACCGTCACTTTAACCCGCGCGGGGCTGGGGTCTCCAGCCGAACGCGCGGGGCTGGGGGGGGGGGGGGTAAATTTTACCCCCCCTGTTATCTCCCGAACTAATGGTCCGATTTGGAAAATTCAAACGCCAATCGAAAGATCTCATCACGAACAACTAAAAACATGTACTTAATTTTAAGTTTGAGGTCAAGGTCAAGGTCAGGTCAAGGGTACAAATTGCAAGTTCCTACAGTATCGGCCTTGCACCGTAGTTGCCGAAGAATGGAGTCATGGACTGAGACTGATCGCCCAAAGCGTGTTCTTAGGCTACCAAGACAATATTCGTTGCATACAATATCATTCAGAGGTCAAGGTCAAGGTCAGGTCAGGTCAGGTCAGGTCACCAAAAACAAAATATAGAAAAGGGCATGTGCGGCACATGTTTTATGGGTCATTTTACTCATAGAATTCAATAGGCACACTCAATAAGTGATATGGACCACCTCTGGATGAATTTCAGGTCGAGGTCAGGTCAAGGTCAGGTCAAGTGAGGTCAAATTTTGAAGTTGGTTGTTAAGGCCTAAAAAGGTGTCTATCTGATGCAGTTTTTCACGGCGAATCGAATGGTGCTATTTTTGTTTCCGTGCGAGGTCTAGAACTTCCAAAAAAGTCATTTTTCAAAAATTTTGTGTGTCGTGACGTCATACAATTTTGAATAACTCCCACATTTTTGAACCGATTCTTCTAAAACTTGGTATGTAGGTACACATAGACTACTTCTCTGACATATATTCCGGTTTTTTCGATACACTCAAAATTTTGGATTTTATAGCTATTTTCCCAAAAAAGTCGGTTTTTTGAAAAAATGGTGGCCAAAATCCAAAATTTTCAAAAAAACCGAGATAGCCATTTGATAGACAAAGTAGAATTACGTATATCCTTTTTTGTTACGTCTTGATTCCTTTAAAAATGAGGATGTTAGCGGCGTTTGAACTTTTGCCGTTTTTGAGGCGAAAATGGCGAACATGACGTCACTAAAACGTCAATTTCTCAAAAATTTTCCGACGGATTTCGCTCAAATTTTCAGGGAACGTGTCAAATTGATGTAAGAAAAGGTACTGAAAGTTTGGCGGCGCTGCGCGCCGCCGTTTTTGAGATATTGCAAAAATTCGCGAGGGGGGGGGGGTAAAATTTACCCCCCCAGCCCCGCGCGGGTTAACTTAAACGCCGTTCGAGGTCGTGATTATAACATAAATGAATCGTAAGCGGATGGCAGCGGTAACTCGGCGATAGCCGTCACATCCCGACTGCCGTGTGCTCTCGAGACGAAAACTGACACATTCAGTCTGCCATGTCCTCTAGAGGCGGAGACGTCACACGCCGGTCGCCGTGTCCTCTGGCACGTGACTCGCAGAGCGCAGCTCCTCTCCGAGGCGCGCAGCTGCGATCGACCGGCGCGCCGGGCGGCGGCGGCCGGCGGCCGAGGGCGTCACTCGGCGGGCGCCGCGGGCGCCGCGGCATGGTCACCTAGCCGGGCGCCGGCCAGCCGCCATGCCGCTGGTGCCCAACCTGGGCCCGCAGGTGGCCGCGCTGTGGGCGCGCGCCCGCGCCGCCCTGCCCGACTCGTGTCTGGCTGGTGCCGACGAGAGTCTGCACTTCGCCAAGTATGGCCGCCGGCCGGGCGACACAGAGCTGGCCGGCCTGGGCAAAGATGGCGGCGGCCGTCCGAACGGCTCCGCCGGCGACGAGCTCGGCGAGGGCGGCTCCTCCGGAGACAAGATCGACGAGTGGCAGGCCGGCTGGAACGTCACCAACGCCATCCAGGTCAGTGTCCAATTTCATTAACGTCACCCAGGTCAGGGGTCACGTGTGCGACCTGACCTCATATGACCTTTAAAAAAATCCGAGATTTGCAAATTGTAAGACATCTGAAGGATACTGTCCTGTAAGTATCATTTCCCTGTGAAAGCTCCTCTGGCACTGAGGGCGTTGCGAAGTTGCGATATTTTAGGACTGTACAGAGACTCACTCATGACGTCATAGGTCAATGACCTGACCTGAACTGAAAATGCGGCTGGTGTTAAAAGATCTGGCTTAAATCAAACGTCAGTTATGTCAAGTTTCAGCTCTCTATCGCCGCTGCGTTTTGAGCTATCGCGAAAAAAAAAACCTAAAGGGGCGGCACCTGCACTCTCGGCCGGCGAGGGTTGATACAATGTTTTCATTATTCAATATTCTTAATCGTAATCGGGTATGTATTAGACGTCCCACGGCAGCCACCTGGTGTCAAGCTGATGCAGTATGCACGTCGTCTTGTACAGGCTCCTGTTTTTTTTTTTTGGAGGGGGGGGGCTTATATAAGGTTCTGTGATGAAAGACGGCCTTTTATAAATGGACGGCTATGTGTCAGCGGCACATTTTTCCTAGTCGGACATCGTCACATCATACGACGCTTTTATGTTGGCACGGCTGTCATTTTCTCGAGATGACTGGTGGACGATGGAAATCTGACGATTAAGTCAACTTACCGGTAAATCGTGCATGATCCTCGAATCCAGACCCCTTGGTTTTCATCAATCGTGGCAGAAATGCCATGCTGCTCAGTGCTCTTCACCGTGAAAAAGTGATCTCCCGAGCTGCACTGCGGCACAGTATCCTCCCTGAACTGCAAGTTGTTACAGCGACTAAACATCTCTCTCCGAGCTGCGCTGCGGCACAGTATAACTTCATGAGCTGCACTGCGGGACAGTATCCACTTGAGCTGCACTGCGGCACAGTATCTCCCTAACTAAACTGACTACAGTACAGTATCCTCCATGAGCTGCTCCATGAAAATGCGGCACAGTATCCTCCATAAGCTGCTCTGCGGCACAGTATCCTCCATTATCTGCCCTGCGGCACAGTATCCTCCATTATCTGCCCTGCGGCACAGTATCCTCCATTATCTGCCCTGCGGCACAGTATCCTCCATTATCTGCCCTGCGGCACAGTATCCTCCATAAGCTGCTCTGCGCTTACAGTACGCATTTCCAGGAGCTGCACTACGGCACAGTATCCTTCCCCAAGCTGCACCGCGGGACGGTACAGTTCTTCCAAACTGTTTCGTACGACAGTATGCCCCCTGAGCTGCACTGCGGCACGGTATACCTATCTCCATGAGCTGCACTGCGGCACGGCATACCTATCTCCATGAGCTGCAATGCGGCACGGTATATCTCCATGAGCTGCATTGCCGTAGATACGGTGTACTAGAGTTGCATCGTTATAGGATACTTCCTCGAACTGTAAGCTGAGGCACCTAATAGGTATACCCACTTAGCCAATCTTGACGGAGAAAAAATGTTTTCCAGGATTGCAATTTGCCATGCGACTTTTTCCAGCAATATTTTGCGACTCTTTCAAACAATATTGATCGAATGCCATTTTGAATATGAAATCAACGGAAAAATGCCTAGCTGACGATAAGCAATTAAAAATGAACGTACAAACACCGTTCAGCGTTAATTGTCAACATAGGTACACGGTACACTAAAAGATGTTTCAATGTTCTTCAGTGTAAAATGTCGCATTAACCACTGTTATAATCCCGCCCAAGTGGTCGCAACACGTGTGAATGGCATCACCATTCTGTGTACGTGACTGCAGCGATTTATCGGTCTGTGTGTTGCAGGGCATGTTCATCGTCTCTCTGCCGTACACGGTACTCCACGGCGGCTATTGGGCCATTGTGGCCATGATAGGCGTGGCCTACATCTGCTGCTACACCGGCAAAATTCTGGTCGACTGCCTATACGAGGTGAGTGCCATCCAGTCGGCAGCTCCGCTCAGTGGTTGAAAGAGCTACGGATGCTCCTCCAAGTGAATCTTTATGGCACAAACAACTGGTATTGTATGCTCCTGCTCCCGTATAATCATACCTATCCCTCTACATACCGAGGCTTATAATAAAATCAATCGATTATTTAGCTTTCTGCTGCAAACCGCCTTCAGCAAAACGAAACGTATAACCGATAAAACTGCATAGGGTAGACCGGGGCAAGTCGCCCCGCCGAGGTAAAACGCCTCACCGATGTTTCTCGGAACTGGCAGAGTTCCTGGGAAACATCCTCTCTTCTATAAAACGTGCACTATATGATCATTAAATGAGCAGACTGGAAAGAAATTGTGTTGACTTTTTCGGGAGATATAGCCAAAAATGTGTTTTTTGAGTGATTTTTATGTTTTGTTGTCAGATTATGCATCATGGCGTTCTTTTATGGTCCACATCAGGTTAACGACTTTTATGTATTTTGAACAACTATTGTCTAACGCTTATCATGCCGGGTTGGTTCGTGTTAAATTATGTCATGCTGGAGTGCAAAGCGTTGTTCCCTGACCGAACTACGTGATGGGGTAAAACGCCCCAGTAGGTCGCGGGGCAAAAAGCCCCATGGGGCGTTTTACCCCATGTGTTGTTTGGGCTACCCACTTTCTAATGTTCGGTAGCTGGCGAACAGTAGGTTTCTATGCCTTTATGTGTATTTTTCTCAGCAACTGGATGGCAAAGGAAGTATTCTGTAAACATTTGCATTGCAATAATTTATTATTTGGTCCTTTGAGGCAGGTGAAAAACCTGCTCATACAATAGTGTCATAGCTGAACACCTGACAGGATGGGATGTGCTAACTTCAGTGCCGTGCCTCCAGAGGTCTAACGGACCTCTCATATAAGATTTAGCCAACTACCATGTTTAATCTTTAATCTAGAGTATGGGGCTTCTTGCCCCAGGCCGTGGGGCGTTTTGCCCTGGGGCTGGGGCAAAATGCCCCATTTGCAGTTGCTTCACAAATCGCTTCCTAGCTGGGAGTCCGATCATAGGTGAAATAATTTGAGGGGTGGAATTTAAAGTAAAATGTCCAAAGAACGCATTGAGCACAAATTTAGCCTTCCAGGTGATGTGGGACAAAAGTTATGTAGCAAAATAAATTATCTGGGGCGTCTTGTCCCAGGCTACCCTATATTTAAAATAAAATCAATCGATTATTTAGCTTTCTGCGAGCCGACTTCAGCAAAACGAAACGATATAACCGATATAACTGCATATATGCCTTTGCTAATCAAACAATTACTTACATTGTATATTAAATTGTATATTAACACCAGCGATTGCTGCAATGTTGCATCCCTAGAGACAACTTCAGCTGCTATCAAGGGAATCCGAGGATTCTCCTCTTCCCATACAATGCGAATAGTGATAGGACTTATTCACTACAAGCTACGTGGTTATCATTGGTTATCATCGAGTGGTCATCATTAAGACGATATGATCTCATTGGTGCACGATCTTATCGGCATCTCCTCTCTCTCCTCCGGCAGCAAACTCCCGATGGCGAGCTGGTGCGGGTGCGGGACAGCTACGTCAGCATCGCCAAGATGTGCTTCGGCCCGCGGTGGGGCGCGCGCATCGTCAACGGCGCTCAGCTGATCGAGCTGCTGATGACCTGCATCCTGTACGTGGTGCTGTGCGGCGACCTGCTGGTGGGCATGTTCCCCGAAGGCCAGATCGACACCCGCTCCTGGATGATGCTCTGCGGCATGCTGCTCATCCCGTGCGGATTTCTGAAGAACCTCCACCACGTGAGCACACTCAGCTTCTGGTGCACCATGGCGCACTTGGTCATCAACGTGCTCATCTTCTGCTACTGTCTCTCCTGCGCCGGCGACTGGGGCTGGTCCAAGGTGAAGCTGCGCATCGACTTCCTGCACTTCCCGATCGGGCTGGGCATCATCGTGTTCTCGTACACGTCCCAAATCTTCCTGCCGTCGCTGGAGGGAAACATGCGCGACCCGAGCCGGTTCGAGTGCATGCTCGACTGGTCCCACATCGCCGCAGCCGCCTTCAAGTCGCTCTTCGGCTACATCGGCTTCCTGACGTGGCAGGGCGCAACGCAGGAGGTCATCACCAACAACCTACCGTCACAGAGCTTCAAGCAGCTCATCAACTTCTTCCTGGTGGTCAAGGCGCTGCTGAGCTACCCGCTGCCGTACTACGCGGCGTGCGAGCTGCTGGAGCGCACCTTCTTCCAGGGCCGGCCGTACACGATGTTGCCGTCCATCTGGGCGCTGGACGGGGAGCTGCGCACCATCGGACTCGCCTTCCGCGTCATCGTGGTCGTGTTCACCATCATCATGGCCGTCATCATCCCGCACTTTGCCATCCTGATGGGCTTCATCGGCAGCATCACGGGCGTCATGCTCAGCTTCATCTGGCCCTGCTACTTCCACCTGAAGCTCAAGTGGGAGTCGCTGTCGTGGTTCACGCGGGGGTACGACATGTTCGTCATCTTTCTGGGCGTGCTGTTCGGCCTGTGCGGCATCTACACGTCAGGCCGCGCCCTGGTCGAGGCCTACCGCATCGGACTGCCTTTCTAGAGGCACTGCGCCCTCGAGCTTCCGCCCGTGGCGGAGGATAAGCGATTGGGCCGATTGAAGTTGGGATAAGAAGTAATGCAATGACCGATTGAGGCAACATGAAAGCAGTAATCGGCAATAAGTAGGCATATGCTGCCGAAATGACAATCAGTCTTCCACGATGAGTCTTCCAGACTACGAGTCTAGTCTTCTAGACCGAGTCTTCCATGTAACACCGTCTTCCAAGTTGAGTCTCACAAGTTTTCGAGACTTCCAGGTAACGAGTCTTCCAGATGTTGATTGGATTGTGCGACTGCGTGCAGTTAAAGTGCGCAAAGCAGAAAGGTGGCCATGCTGCCGGACCAGTCTTCCAGGAATTAGTGCAATGAAGTCTTCCCTTTGTTGAGTGTGATGCTGTGTGATGTTGTAATGTCTATGGTAGAATGCTTGGTGTCTCGTTGTGAACTTTGTATATCCAGGGTGGGCCAGTGCGGGCTGGGGGCACACTGACGGGGGCGGCTCGGCCGCCGGACTCTCGAGTCCGCGGCCCGGCCAAGCGCTGGAGCAAACACTTTGACGCTTTATTGACTGACAAGAATCCGTACAGCTATCAAGCCGGCTTAGCGGTATCGCCGCTGACTCGCTGAGAGTTTAGTTCTATGAGTCCATCTCTGTGATGCTTTTAACAGGCGCCGGTTGGACAGTTTTTGATGGCACACTGCAGGAAACTTTTTAATGAAGTTTTTATAAATTGCATCCGACTCCAGAAGAAACCGGGCATAAATGACTGGTAGGATCTAAAGCGAACAACAGCTTACCCTCGTTATCACTGTCAGTTTTTCCCCTCTCCCCACCCTCAAGTGCCCGGCATGTCAATGACCCAAAGGGCCATGTCCTGAAGGACCATCGACGGAGCGGGACAAGCCGGGGCATCCGACACCCTCTCTGGTAACTGAGGCCCGGTCCTTGCTCTGCTCCTCTGCCCGGCCAGACCCGCGGTCCGGCGTCGGGTGGCGCCCGAGATCCGAGAGGCGTCTCTCTGTGGCCCGCGGCGCCGGCGGCGGGTGTCGGCCGGCGGCCGGGCGCCCGGCAGGCTGGTGCCACCGCCCGACCGTCGGCAGATCAATACGGAGCCGACTCCTCGGCTCCGGGCCCTCTGCCAGCCTCTCCGGCCTCTCCCGACCCCGCCCGAGAGCGAGTCGATACCTCCCCGCCCGCCGCCCGAGCGCGGCCTGTGGTCCACGGGCCGTCCGCCGTCGCCAGCTCGAAACCGTCCCCGCCTGTCCGCTATGGCTAAATATGACGGCTGAACCGCTCCTAAAAGGCTGAACAAGACAGCTACCAGTCGGCTGCAGATTCTGACACTGAAAGAAATTTAGATTAATGATTCAGTTCACGCTAGTAACCATTGCTACTGCGTGTTACAGGCATTTCGGCATTGTGACACGAAGCCTGCGCAGTGGTCGTTCTCGATATTTTAATTTTTCGTTGGTAAAGGCACTTAACATAGCTTCATAATTATGTTTGTGTGGATGTGTTTCATGACGATAACAATTAGACGCTGTTATGTGAATGTGAACACGGGCGTATAGCGTTTTGATAAGTGCTATATCATGGTCATGTAGTTTATAATACGCATATATTCATTATTGTTTGTATTTATTGTTTGTATATTATTGTAAAGTTGTTACTGTCGTGTCATATTCACGTTATCTTTAATATCCAACTTGTTCTTGTAATGCCAAGTGATTTGTGCAACGTCAGTTTATCTCGATACTGTGATATCTTGGAGCCACCAGCAACTTCTTCATAAGACCTTTTAACATTCCACTACCTACCCTCCTACCTATCATAATCGAATGGAGATGATGTGATGTGGGATTAAACCTACATGGATCAATCATTTAATTATCATTGAAGTTTTGTCTTATTTAGTCTGAATTGGTCATGTTGACCTCTCATCTCGGCTAGCTCTGGATTTGTTCATGTTTGGTGTTTTGTTGAGTGTCATTCCGGCGCCTGGTCAGGCCGCCCTGGCGTGTGTGTGGCAATGGGGCGTGGTCTAACCGCCGCTGACGCCCCGCCCTCCCTCTAGCCCCGCCTACTGGCCGCCCAGTAGACAGCGGTCAGGTCAGGGTCAGCGCCAAACAAAAAATACAAATAAAATCACAAAATGGACCCGTGTTTTCGTGGATCGAGGGAATCACTTTCGATGTAGCACTTCCACCTAATGGAACTGCAAAACTCAGTAGTCGCTTCGAAGAATGGGTGATAAATAAAACTCTCGAAGTCGACTCCAAATATAGGCCTCACATGTATTGGATCGCGCCTGTGTCAGCCAATCATGTGAGCTAACGTGGTTGTGGGTGGGCCGGCTACATTTGACCGTGCTTCTCGGTAACATACCATCGATAGTGATAGACATCACGGTTCGTCGGAAGGTCATCTCAGGCTCAACAGAAACGATATATACCATTCGAAAGCTGACGGTGAGCTGAATCCAAAAATGTAATTTTTATCAAAATCGATCGATGGCCTTTTTTGAAAATTGCGTTTTTGTAAAAACTTAATAATCTTTTATTCAACGGGCTGTCCCGGACATTCTTGAAAACATTAACATGTATTTTTGAGTTCCAGTGAAAGCTGAACGCCAAAAGAACAATATTTAGCGAAGCAATATTTCCAAACATTAATATGCGTCTCCCACAGCCGACAATAAGGCGCAATCACACAGTTCGGTGTCACGATGGACCAAAGTCAGCCACACAGAAGCGTGAAATGACCCTTATCGACTCGCAGACCCGGCGCTCTCGGCCCGCCTGACCGGCCACGGAAAGAACGTTCGGCTCTCGTTCTACTAAACAAATGTCATATTTGTCAGTTTAACTGTCCACATCGCTATTAAAGTTATTCAGGATACCTGTGAAGAAAATTCATTGTTCTGTCATCTTCACATCATGCATTAATTTGCATTTGTTCATGTCTACTTTGCTCAATTGAGCTTGGCATCATGCCCATATAAGGAAAATTGGCCGCGCTGAAATGTCAGAGGCTGCACCGGCCTCAGCTCGGGTGGAGTGGGGGTAGCGCCCGGCGGGGCAGGGTAACCTTTGACCGGTCGCACGGCCGAGCAGCTGTCACCAGTACAGCCTCTGACAGTGAAACCCCGCTCACTTCGCCTGCGCGGGCACTGATCGCAGCTAGATGGAACAAAACATGTATAAGAAAAATGTAAATTAAAGCATGTTGTAAATCAAGCAGAACAATGAATTTTCTTCACAGGTATCCTGAATAACTTTAATAGCGATGTGGACAGTTAAAGTGACAAATATGAGTTGACATTTGTTTAGTAGAACGAGAGCCGAACGTTCTTTCCGTGGCCGGTCAGGCGGGCCGAGAGCGCCGGGTTTGCGAGTCGATAAGGGTCATTTCACGCTTCTGTGTGGCTGACTTTGGTCCATCGTGACACTGAGCTGCGTGATTGCGCCTTATTGTCGGCTGTGGGAGACGCATATGCATGTTCGGAAATATTGCTTCGCTAAATATTGTTCTTTTGGCGTTCAGCTTTCACTGGAACTCAAAAATACGTGTTTATGTTTTTAAGAATGTCCGGGACAGCCCGTTGAATAAAAGATTATTAAGTTTTTACAAAAACGCAATTTTCAAAAAAGGCCATCGATCGATTTTGATAAAAAATACATTTTTGGATTCAGCTCACCGTCAGCTTTCGAATGGTATATACCGTTTCTTTTGAGCCTGAGATGACCTTCCGACGAACCGTGACATAAGCGGGCGTTCTGGGAAGCCGTCTGTCTATGCGAGCTCTGGTCCCATCAGAGCCGATGATGCTACAGGGCGGCTCTCTAAACCGGAGCCGTCGTGCCATTTTCGGTGATGAATGGACCGCCGATATTGGCCGGAGCAGACGGCGGGATATATAGCTGCTGCTCTCCGAGACGTGGTCCGACCACGCCCGTACCCGGCCGCAAAGGTCAACTGGGTGGACCGCGGGTCACTGGAGACAGCTGACCGGTCAATGGTTAAACTGGATTGACCGGGGTCATTGGAGAGGGATGACCGGTCAAAGATCAGCTGGATTAACGGGATCACTGGACTTAACTGACTGGTCGGTGGTCAACAGCATCCAGAAAAACTGGCCCGTGGCCGTCTATTACATACACGAATGACTACTGATACACAGAGCTAAAGATACCACAAAGTAGGTATAGGTATGTGTTAGGGCTATGATACCAAAATGAAGGTCGGCATAAGACAATGTATCTCGTAAATTCGTCCAGATTTGACAAGCTTTATCATGAATCCTACTCTTATCCACCTCATAATTTTAATTGGTCTGCTTGGTATACCTAACCCATCCGCGTCCCGCACTTTCCATGAGCCGAACGTTGTCTCAGCGCGGGGGCGTTCCCAAAGGTCACTGGGAACAAGCTGCCCAGTGGGCGAGGCTAGTTTGGAAATTTAACGACCTCGACCTGTGCTCGAAATAGCTGCGCGACATTTGCCATCAGTGCGTGGGCGCATGGTTACAGAAGCGATATGGTAACTTGAGCACTTCGGTCCTCAAGCTGGGAGTTATGTTACAGAAATAGATCCAATCTTAGACCGACCACTGCATAGTTCTCTGGTCTGAAATATGACGCACGTTTGGAACATTATTCTGGTGTCGCCACGCTGCTGTCCTTGCGTCATCTGCAGGCTCAAGTGTCATCTTCATTAGTTAGGAAATGTGGTTACATACATCTATTATGTTCTATTCTATAGGAATCTATTATGTTAAATATCAGACAAGCTGAGACGCATTGTTGAGCGAAGTCACGATGTACCTAATGGCGCTAATCGCAATGATTAGTTTCATCTTTGAGTCGAGCTTTTTTAAGTGTTATGTCTAGCTTTCATTTCATGCCCTAATTTCGGTCGGTTCTCAGAAGGCCGATAATCCCTAACAATTTAATTAACTTATGTCTTGCTTGGGACATTATTAATTCCCACAAGTTTAAGTCCTTATGTTGACAAGAAAATAAGTAGTTGACACGCGAAAGACGACAGGATAAAACGTTCATAAGTAGTTCATATTTATTAAGATTAGTTATGGTACAGATTTTGCGAATACGGGCGCTAAGCAACGACCACCCCAAACACTTCCATGCAACAGATTCGCACACAAACACACATATGGATGTTGCAGGTTCGTTGAAGTTCGTTGAGGGGGGGGGGGGAGTAAATGAAAATGAGATGAACCATGCATACGGAACTAATATACATTTCACATTCATTTACATTTCAATGATCTCATTGACGTATTCAAAGACAGGCCCGAAGTCATACATATTTACAGTGGCCATCGGACTTATGCATAACTGTACAGTTTCAGTGCGCCATTTCCACTTAATTTACAATATGCATGCACATAAGCCAAACCCATGCGGATGTGTAACGAGAGGTTGGTGCAAAATAAATACAAGTCATGTCTCAAAATGAAATTAAGGACATTTCAGTAGCGATCATTGACTGTATGACGGAACACGAAAGACTTGACAAGTTCACCAAATCATCACGAGCTAATAAGTACAAATGCACTGATCGAGTTTAAAAAGCACCTGTGCGAGGACAAATATCGATCGGTGAAAAAACCCTAGAGAAAAAAATACGCGCATACAATACACTCAACTTGATGCTGTATACACCTAAAATGGCGTTTATAAATCATTTTTATCTTATAAAGGCCAGCATAGCCGTTATAATGGAATTTGATTAACGAAAAATCTATCGTAATGTTTAGCAATAATTTGGGTGCCGTAAGCGCATTATAAGGAAGAGATATCGACATCACTTATCTATCGGATTATTTTCAGAAAAAGCACTGTCGATTTCGATTACATCAGTTTCGTCTCACGTCGTGTTCCATCATTAACATTAACTTTCCTTGAGCGTTTCGCATCTGCGTTGAGGCCCCCGTGTCATGGACTTATCAGGTTTAACTCCACGCTGTAGGTCATATCTCCAGCAGCTCGCACCAACCACTAATCCACTTGCAGTTGAACCAGGTCAGCTCTAGTCAACCATTTCTGTAACCTCTACCACACCTGACGCTGTCTCAGGGTCCTCATTTTGCCACCGACATCACTAGGATACCAGTTCGTCTCAATCACTGCCGGCGTCGCCCCACCCCGGATACAGTCTCACTCGATATAATCGTGCAGCTGCCGCGTTGAACTGGACCTCGAGCCTCGGTGTGACTTGCGCTTCCGCTTGATGACGTAGATGGTGATGCAGAGTGTGAGAATCTGCAGGCCGGCCAGACAGGCCAGCGCCGGCACCCAGGTCACCTTGTTGGTCTCCAGCCAGCTCTGCAGTAGCGGGCCGCAGCCGTCCTGCACAGACGAGAGACGGGAAGGTTATTACCGGTGTGCGTAGGTTCTTCGAGGAGAGTTGCGATACGAAGTGAATGTTAAAAAAGAACTTTATTTTCTGAAATGAGGATTTAAGTAAATAATATCTAACATTCGAATAAAAGAACCGTTCAAAGGTATACAAAACGTTTAAAAAAATGATTTTTAACTACAAATAGACTTTATTTTCATTAAGCTGTAAAATATTTCATATTCGGCAATATACGCCTGGGAATTGGGGAGAAATATTCCGAAGGAAATCCGTCAGTAAGTTTCGATACGGAGCCTTTTTATCCGTCTCACACCCATGAGAGGCCCAGCGGCTGTTCGCCGCGCGCGACCTCTATACGCGCCGGGCGCCGGGCGCCGGTCTCACCTGACGGAGCTCCTGGACGGACCGCGTCTCGCTCGTATAGACTCCCTCCGGAGGTGTCTCCTCGTAGCAGGTGCTGTCCAGCAGCGAGTCCGTGTAGGCGAACTCCTTGGGGCCCGTGAAACCGCAACACTCCAGCTATGAAGGGGGGAGGGGGAGGGGTCAGACGGGAAGAGCGTCCTGGACACACCAAGATTGGTCGAGCACGGTTTGACACACCAACATTCGAATTCGGTTAACACTCAACATTCGGCCAGCGAGCAGAACTACAGGCGACAGAACAGTGCGCATATGTGCCACCTGCCTTGCAAAGATACTGCAGAAGGAGGTAAAGCAGTAGCGATAAAACTATGCAATCGGTGATATGGAATTACAGTCAATTCAGCTAAAACATTTTTGTTATGTCATGCAGCCTTTTGAAATAATCAACAGCTTCTTACCGACTTTTGGACGAAATTACGGGTATCTTGGTTGATCTCGTTCCAGCTTACTCTGAGCATGTCGTACAGCTGAAATCACACAACAGAATCGGGAATGTCAACTTCAGCCTTTAGCAGTGCAGGCTTGACGGTAACACAGTCTTGTCTCTCGTACAGTTACGTGTAAAAAAACAAAGTTAAAATATACTTTGAAAATATGCTCATGGCGGCTGAGACTCATTCTCGCCCCCACCGGTGTCACTATTGGCCGAGTGTGGTGGTCGAGGATAGGTTGAGGTGGCTTCGGTTACAGGGTCACTAAGATCAGCCAGTCGGACGCACAGGGACCGTTTGACGCTGTGTGCTTACCACACCGTGGCCACCGTGGGATCGTATCGTACGGAGATCCGTGAGCGGCCCACACGTTTGTGTGTGTGGGAGGGGAGTAGGGGAGGGGAGGGGTGTTCCAGCCGTTGGACTGTTTTGGGGCGGGCCAGTGCCTGCAGCAGAATAACACCTGCACTGCACGTGTGTAAGTGGCCCTTCAGACGGACAACAGCGGGCAAAACAGCCAAGGCCGCGGTCCGAGGTTATCAGCCTAATCTGAAAGTAGATTACGGTGCAGAACAGAGGGTCCGAGCAGGAATAATATAGAGGGCACAATGAAAACACCCCGCAGGGTTCACATAAGATAAGTCATACAATATAAATAATGCCAGCAATAAGTTTTGGCAGTCTGTTATATCTTATAACTGTTCTTTGCCTTCCAAACAAAGAGAAACAATGGAAGGAATCAAGCTGCGTGGAAGTATTGATAGCTTTGTATCTTTATAGAACAACGCCCCTGTTGGAGGTACTGACCTTGAATTGCATTGCGTAAAGGGTGATAAGTCCTCCAACTTGACCAATTACCAGCAGTAGAACCAGGGACATGAACTGCGGAGAACGCCAGAACACAGGTCAATCACACTCTAAATATTTTCGATTTGTCTCGATGCAGCTATACCTACTATTTAAAAGCACTGATGCCATTTTAGAAGCCCTCTCGAATGAAGCATTTAAAAGTTTACTTCCCAACGAAATATGAACTGTGCCACTGCTAGTTCCGTCTAAATGCCCCGACGTTTACGACGTCCCTTTACAGTAACCAGCGACCTATCGCACATTTGTAAATAGGTTAATTAAGTGATGTTGCTTCATCGTATTGCAGCCCGATAATTTAACTGAAAAGTCCATGCCACACTAATCAGCATTAAAACGACGACGTACCAGTCGAAGAAGGCAGTAGTTTTCAGAGAAGGACGACACCCAGCCGACCAGGCCAGAGAAGAAATAGACAAAGCCCAGTGAGATGACTACGTAGGTGAAAATCTGAAACATACGATAAAGCATGCTCAACGTTAACAGGTAATTGCAATGGACCTTATCGGCAGAGTTACGAACACATGAAACCTGAACACAAATAGCAACTAAATGCTTTAGCGTTTTGCAATCTACAAGATTATTTCTTCATTGTGACATGTCCAAATCTTCATTTAAACTTTAACCCTAATCCAATTTGCTCCTTTGTGTTCACCATCAGACAGCATCCAGAGCAATAAGAAGCGTCGACCCACTCACACCACACCCAGAGCTGTTTGTGTGGGTCGTGACAGGCAGGCTGCCTTCGACTCATTCACGAATGGTATTGGTGGGCAATGATATCGATCGAAGAACGCGCCATAACAACGGGCGGAGTCGTTTAATTTGTACTGGATCGATATCAAAGGATCGAATGGGATATGCGGAAGACATGGAAAGATTAATCGTCAATAACGATAATTGTTCCGTTTGAAATGAAGTAACTATCGAGGAAAGTTACGTAAATTAACCACTCCAGATCACATACTTAATCACCGAATGGGCTTCTAGAGCTCCATCTAACGATTTCAGATATTTCATATCATGAAATATACTCTCGGTTCAGTCTACGCTAATTATTTGTGTTTTGCTCTAACTTGCAGCACTAACCAGCTCCCCAGACATGAAGCGCGCCACGGTCACTGACGTGGAGAGCACCCAGCCCATGTAGCCGATCATCGTACAGCCGACCACCTGAAACACAGGCGGGGTGGCGGTCAGCGGAGCGTGGCAACACACCGGAAACGGTCCGGGCAGCACCGCCCGGCCGCGCCCGCCCCGCCCGCCCCGCCCCGGGCCGGGCCGGGGGTCAGGCGGCCGGCCGGCACACAGCGGTACCGGGCGGCCCCGGCCCGCCGGCACTGGGCCGGACTGAAGGCCGGGAGCGAGGGGTGGGGTGCAGGGTTGAGTCAGCCGTTATCTGACTCGAATTGCCACCGACTGGCGAGGCATAGCGGGAGCAGTCTGGAGGGCAACACACTCACGAGTTCATGGCGTGGGAAAATGTGGTTTGATGCCAGATATCACGAAACTTGTTGTGGTGTCAAATGATCATTGTCATAAGGGAAACGCACTGGATTGATAAATTTTCTCTTTCAGGTTATTCATTTTTCTTTGTACAAAGGTTGTGCTATGCAAAGCAATGATAACGATGGCCACGTTTCAGCCATTGTTGACTTGCGGTGAAAATATATCTGTAAAACAATTTTCCAGTGGCATTTTCACGGTATTGATAAATGGCTAAGGCAAAAATTTCCACGTTGTATAGGTACGGCAGGCGTTTCCGAGTTCTCTAAAGTCGTATTTTCGCCCTTGAGCTGCGCCGGCCCAGAGTAAGCCTCGTGCGACATTCCGGACCTCTGACTGGAAACGGCTCGTGGGAATGTTCTCAGGCACGCTGCATCGAAGTGATGCAGAAGACAGGACCGAAATATGATGCCATCCGTTATATTGGCAGACCATCATTCCGCAAAGCAAAAACATGAGGAATGCGATGTGAAGGTCACGCTTTCTGAATTCTGATGTAGGTAAAACGCTTGGAGGCGTAGCTGAAGGAGGTGTAAAGAAAATTGTTTGCATGAAGATGTTTGTGTGACATTGACAATAAAACTATTTGTACGCCTACGACTGATGGTATAACACTAACAAAATAGCAGACTATTACATCATATCATTTCCCTAGTTGTAAAAACGAACTTAATTACACACGGGCTCGGCTAAGCGCTCAACAACCACAACACTGAAACAGTAAACGTGAGTCGTGGCATTTCACACTAATTGGACGGGCATGACGCAAGGCCTCCAATCGCCTCAGAGCGTGCCGTAGTGAGGAGACGGTGACACGCCCTTTACCGCACCCCACTGGGCGCTGTTGGCACACTGCACCTCGATCACGCTGCATCACTACAGCAGCTGCGTGACACATTCGTAACACCGCGTGACGCGGCATCATCTGACGCGGTGTGACGTTGCGCGTCACTGACCTCGCTGACGTAAGCCGACCACTGCTGGCTCGGGTCGACAGAGGCGGGGTCCGCGCGGCGAAAGTCTGCCATGCGAAGCGGCCCGAAACGAACCGGCAAGGCGTCGGCAGCGGCCACGGCCGGCCGGCCACGCCGAGTACGACGCTGGGTGAAAGTGTTAACTGCCGTGGCGTGGCACCGCACCGTGCACGCTGATAGGCGTGAGATAGACCTGCAGTGTCAACAACTGCACGGCGCATAGTAAGGAATCACCAGAGAACGGTAGATATCAAACGGGCTCCGTGTCGCTCGAGTAAATATTTCGATTCCATGGTTTTCCTGTGCCTTGTGGATAGAAAGATCGTGAGGCGCATTGGTATGAAGATAAACAGGCGAACAAGGTTTCCACAATCGAAACTCGAAGTTCCCTTCGCACATAAATGAGACGATGGGACTAGCGGTCGACTGAAAGTGAGAGTGGAGAACCAATAGATATGTGTGGGACGAGATGCCATTTCCCTCGCCCGAAAGCCGCCCGTCCACTTTCAAACAGCCGACAGTGATCTCGGTGGGTCCCATCTAAATTTCGATCTTTGTTTTCACGCCGTTTCTCGGAGATCAGCTCTGGGCTGGACTGCTCTCTCCATGAGATGATCCTGTCTTATCCAACCCTCGTCCCAGGCTGTAAGGTGCACACTGTATGTAAGTGCTCTTAGACATGCAATTGTGAAGATATCTTTCGACTACTCCAGCTTGTTGGATTCTGCTTGCATATGCTGATAAAGGCAATGAGCCAATGGCAGCTCATAAATACTAAATGTCCAGGATCTTTCATAGTGTTAACAACTTATGGAGAGTGCTGCGATCAATCAACAAAGGGCGATATTTTCATTTTGTAAACATCGAAGTCTGTATTTTGCATTCAATTTCAAATGTCGCATAAAAACAAAGCTTGATCTAGCTGAAAGTGCAAAGAATATGCTATCAAAACAGCAAAATATAGTTAGATGCAGCCTTTTACGCAAGTTGACACAACCGACGGTACGTATAACTTGTTAGCTCAATTTAGATCTAAGAGTGATTATCCAGCAAACGTGAGCCGGCATAACACGTATTGTCATGCTCGATAATTACTGGCTAGCCACTTGTCACAAAAGCTACGAAGTTCGACACGACAGTTACAGTTTTAACATGGTCTAACGATTTGCCGAGATCGTGCCACGTTTCTGTCGATTCAATAACCGCAGAGATTTATCGCCGAGATTAAATGACACCGTGACAGACAAAGCCGCGTTAGCCATGCCAACCACGACTGCTTGACAACTACCTACCGTGGATTAAAATGAAATCGGACTTACTCCACAAGAGTTCGTTGGGTCGGAGCTTTCGAATTGTATTACAATTCTTCGTCAGCGAGAGTCGTATCGGATGTTAAGATCGAATCGAAGGTACAGTGCGGATCGAACAAAATATGGGTCGGACAGGAGGGTCTCTGAGGCAATTAGTTGGTCTTGAAATAAACATACAAACACTGGGAAAACACGTGAATAATAACAGGATGCACACTTACTAGAAAAAGCCTGTAAAATGGGTATAAAACACACTAGTAAAATATCTAATACAAAAATATAGGCAGGTAGGTAAAAATACAGTTAATGACATGTAAAAAAAAATTGCATAGATTAGGTGCAAACAGTACCTAAAGCAGAGATAAAGCTTTACAAAAACACGAATAGTAAACTAGACTATGATATAAAATATCAAAATGATAAATTATATAAATGAACTTTTTAACGGCAGAAACGGCGAATAATGGGAAGCCACCTGTCTTGCAGCAGGGCACCAGAGTTGCGGTTCACATTCGCGTCATTGGGTGACACTAGGACGGCTTCCCGCCGTCCCACGGTACGAATGTAGGCCGATTCGAGAAGGAGTCTCATCTGGTGGTGGCAGGCACGGTTCAGGATTTTGGCGTCCTACCTACCCAGTCGGCCATCTCTCTCATTCGAACCATGCTGAATGAAAACCAAGACGCCCTCTCTGACGTAACCTGCCTGAGGCCAGATGCAGTGGCTGACCTTCTCTGCATCTCCATCAAGAACTGCCATGCTGTCGTCCAGGACGGCGACCGAGAGAGATGGTTTAGGCAGACTGCTGGCCTAGCCATGGGTAAAAGTTACTCACCAGTTGTCGCGGACTTGTACATGGGACACTGGGAACGTGACTTGGAACTACTGGCAGCCAACTGTGGAGGGAGAATTTATTCATTCTGCAGATATGCTGATGACTACCTGGTCCTCTTCGAAGGCAGCGACACCATCCTCAATGCATGGGTGGAGCTGCTCAACAACAAGGACCAGAACATCAAAGTCACTACTGAGATCGAAGAAAATCGACGACTGCCCTACCTAGACATCATGATCACAAGACAGGACAACAAGTTCACTACAAATGTCTACCGGAAGGCATGCACCACTAACCAAGTACCGGCCTTCAACTCCTATACAGAGACGCGCTATCTGAGATCAGCCATCAGATCTGACTGCTTACGTGCCATCCGCAACTGCTCCTCCGTCAAAGACCGCCTGCAAGAACTTGATTTTATACGCAAGAAATTCCACCGACACGGCTACCCTCTCTCGTTCATCAACCCGATCCTAAGAAGAACAGAAAAGGACCTCCAGCTGAAGGCCAGGGCTCTGCCGTCGCCACCGAACCCCAGCCCGCTGCCTGCACCCGTCCGGCTCTCGGTTCCGTTCGCTGGTCCCTGCTTCTACCAACTGAAGCGAGAAGCCAACAAGATCGGCATTCAGCTCGTGTCGAAGCCGTCGCAGACCATCGGGACCCTCCTCTGTAGCCAAGCCAAGCACCGTCTACCCAAGCAGCAGGAGAGCAATGTCATCTACTGCATCGAGTGCTCCTGCCGGGTAGAAGGTGACCCGGTCGTCTACATCGGAGAAACGGACCGAGAACTTGGAACCAGAGTCCGTGAGCACCGAGAGAGCTGGGCTGGCTCGGTCCGCTCCAGAGCCAACGCTTCAGCGTTCAGCACGCACCGGGACTGCACGCCGGCCTTCGACGACGCCAAAATCCTGAACCGTGCCTGCCACCACCAGATGAGACTCCTTCTCGAATCGGCCTACATTCGTACCGTGGGACGGCGGGAAGCCGTCCTAGTGTCACCCAATGACGCGAATGTGAACCGCAACTCTGGTGCCCTGCTGCAAGACAGGTGGCTTCCCATTATTCGCCGTTTCTGCCGTTAAAAAGTTCATTTATATAATTTATCATTTTGATATTTTATATCATAGTCTAGTTTACTATTCGTGTTTTTGTAAAGCTTTATCTCTGCTTTAGGTACTGTTTGCACCTAATCTATGCAATTTTTTACATGTCATTAGCTGTATTTTTACCTACCTGCCTATATTTTTGTATTAGATATTTTACTAGTGTGTTTTATACCCCCTGTTTTATACCCATTTTACAGGCTTTTTCTAGTAAGTGTGCATCCTGTTATTATTCACGTGTTTTCCCAGTGTTTGTATGTTTATTTCAAGACCAACTAATTGCCTCAGAGACCCTCCTGTCCGACCCATATTTTGTTCGATCCGCACTGTACCTTCGATTCGATCTTAACATCCGATACGACTCTCGCTGACGAAGAATTGTAATACAATTCGAAAGCTCCGACCCAACGAACTCTTGTGGAGTAAGTCCGATTTCATTTTAATT